GGGGCTCTCCGAGTCACTGGCGACGGGTTCGGAGACATGAGCTGTCGTCAAGAACGTCCGCACGACCGCCTGCTGGCGCGTAGCAAGCGCCATACGCAACCCTCCTGTGGGGACATTGCACGCAAACACATGCGGAGATACACGTTGCAGAACGAGGCGCGAGAGCATTGAGGGCAGCGGCGATGGTGAGGGGGAGAAGGTGTGAACAACGCTAAGTCGCGTCGGCGACGGACCCAAATAAGGTTCGGTTGCGCGTAACTCGAGCCGTGGGAAACATGACGGGAAACACACACCCCCGGACCGGGCTCCGGTGTGGCTTGCTCGTCGACCACATCCTCGAGCTCCCTCATCCGCCAGTCCCGCAGCGTCTTCCTGGATCTCCGTATCTCCCTTAATATTCGTATAACCACCATGAACATCCCCGGCCTTAACATCCCAGGCATACCCGCCACCGCCGCACCCGCGCCCGGCGAGGCAGCCAGCTCTGGCCTACCCTTCGACCTCCAAAGGCTCCCCGTCGGCCAACTCGAATCTCTCCGCTTCAAGGCCAGCCAGATAATCGAGTCTATACAGCTCCTCCAGCGCACAATTGACATGGGCGGCCAGAACGCCATGCCCGCCTGGCCCGACATCCTCTCCAAGTACAACATCCTCCTCTCCCAGTCCCACAACCTCTCCATGTCCCTCCTCGCCGCGCACAACACAGGTACCGCCCACAGCGCGCAGGGAAACCCGTATGAGAAGATCGCTGTCCACCCGCGTGTGGGCCTCACCGACGCGCAGCTCGACAACGAGCTCGTCCCGCTCCTCCGGAACATCCAGACCACCGAGGTCCTCCGCGCCGAGTCCGACACCGTCCGTCACCTCGCAGAACACATGGAGACGAAGGGCTCCCTGGGTATGCTTGGGCACGCGCCGCGCACGGGGGGAAGGCCTCCCGATTACGAGGACGTCCTGAGGGAGTGTGCGCAGATCCGCGCTGAACACGACGAGCGCGTCGACCGCGCCACGCGTGCGGTCATGCTCCTCCGCGACAAGTACGACTGGAAGGCGCGAGTTGCTGTCGAGCAGGAGGAGCCCGAAGAGCTCGATTGGAACCCGGGGCTGCCTGACAACGGTGGGGCTCCCGAGTCGAGCGTAGACAGCGCTGACACTCCGAGCGGAAGGCAGAGCAACGATAGCGAGGAGGAAGAGGAGCTGGAAGAGGTCCTAGGCAATGGCGAGCATACCCCGGAAGGATCGCAAGGCCTCCCAACGCCGATGGCTGACGGCTAGGGTCTTCGGCATGCAAGGCTGATTCATAGCTTCATGTGATAATCATTGTGTCACGAATTGTCATACGTCGTGGTGCTGATGTATGTCCTTTCTTAGGCCGCTAGTTATTACAGCAGCGCAGATGTGATCTCAACTGCAAAGCGTCCTGGCCGGTCCATGTGGGTATCACGGCCGGACATATCTCAAGGTCGCGCCCTCTCCCCTTTGCCATCGGACGCGACGTGTCGCACAGGTTCGAAGTCCTCAGTTTCATCGACTCTTGTTGGCCAGGCAGGACAAGGGGCGACGGTGGGCATAGATGTACCGCTTACACGCCAGACAGCAACAGCTGTAATTCCAACGCCATAACACCCTTGGCTCCCGTGACGGCGAGCATCTTTCAATGCCCAATAGCTATCGACGCGCGTTGCAATATAAGAACGATTTTCCGCGAATCATCAGTCCTACGAGGGCCCTTCGACCTATCGCGACAGTGCCTATCATCCTTGAGTGCCATTATACGGGCGAGGGTTTCTCTTCGGCCAGACTGACCTTGGACAGATCCTCCAGGCAGCTGAACCACCGCGACCGCGACCTACGCCCAGTGTCCTTCAATTATATGATATCTAGACACTCGACCTATGACCGTGGCCGCACGTATGCCTCATCTCCTCTCCCACCCGCAGAATCCAACACTAGTGGTTGAGTGATGCGGGGCTCGGCTGTGACCGACATGAAATCCACGACCCGAGACATGCATCCCGATCTGGAGGATCTACGTGATCGAATTGTATATGTACGGACATTGAGAGGTCCTCCGATGGCACTGCTTACACCGTGTACCGTACGTAACCATCGCCGGAGAACTCTTCCTGAACCGTACTTCGAAGCGATGGTACTTGACATTCAAAAGCGCGGTCATGCATACTCGTAGAGTCAGGGAAAGCATTTACCGGCGAGCCTACCCTGCACATCTGCCGCCCTACAGGCTACAGCTCAGAGTCCATCCGGCGCAGCGCGAGTATAACGATAAGTGCAACATGCGCTTATGTCTTGCGGCTGCCTTCAGACTTCCGCTCATACGATTAGCTAAGGTCCGCCGGATGTGTGCAACTTCGGATGCTGAAGCAGAAACTCTATTGAGCGATCCTTGGTACTCGTCCCAAAGGCTCTAAGTCGGGGTGCTACTACAGTCACACGGGGACGGAGCAACACGCGATTATAACCTAGAAGAACCCAGTCTAAACTAACGGAGCACGCGAAGCAGATGTTAACAATACAACAAGGGGCGACGACGATCGTGCCCGAACGTGATAGAAAATCCAGACCCGATGCGATGCGTGGGATAGGCTGTGTGGTTACGCCGATGCGATGGGAACTAATGATAGAAATGTCCAGGGATGTTGATGAATGCGGGAAGTGTGATAGAAGACGATGCAGATATTGAGGGTATAGATGGAGAAAATGGTAAGAAGTGAGATGTGAGATGTATAGGAGACTGAGACGTGAAAGGAGACGCTGAAAGGTACGAGGGAAAGGAGACAGACAAGAGAAAGAGGTCGAGAAGACGGTGACCCAGGCCACATGCCGTAGCGTTGCGTTTGCCTCGGGCGCGGGAGATCACCAACGAAAACCTTCAGTCGACATTCCTGCGCCGGACTCTGGCATCCAATACGGTGGACCCGCGGGCATCCCATAGTCCGGAGAAGCCGTCGAGGCGCGCGACGACATTGACGATGCCGATGAGCTCCCCGAAGGCGAACCGAACAATTCGGGGAACAGCGCCAAGGCTGGATTTGCCCACTGCATCTGCTCAAGGACGTTCTGTGGGGGCAGAGGGGGGAATTCGAACGCGCTCGGATCAATGATCGCCCCGCTGAGGTCGAGAGGCGGTATGTACCCATCAGTGGGGGGGTAGTCAAGGTGCGGAGGCTGGTGCGCGAACGACCAGCTTATGGCGGCAGGCTTGACCAGCTCCGGGCTGTGGTGGACGTCATGGACGGCGGGCGGAGCGTTCGGGGAGGAGCCGTAGGAAGGTGCACAGTCTTGATCCTTCGAGCAATGCGGGACGAATGCCTGCCCTGTGAGTTGCCCATAAGTTACACTGCCGACGCCCGAACCTGCAGCGGTGGGATGCACAGAGACAGAATAATCGGGGTCCGCAAGGGGGCACGGAGCGCTCGTCCGAGCCGTCTGTCGTGGCTTGCCTTTGCTGGACGTCTTCTTCGCCAGTTGGGCAATACATGGCATAGGTGATGGGGCATTGTCAATGTGGCCGGACGCCGAAGCCCATGCGATGTACTTGCAGTCGGCGTGGCGGTCGGCAGGGTCGGCAGGAGGGAGGACGATGATAGTGCCCTCGACTACGGCCCTCTTCCCACTGCTCTTGCGTTGATTGTGCTTCGACTTCGCGAGTTCTGACCCTTCATACGTCGGTTTCTGCGCATCTGCCTCGTCGTCTCCGTCCTCGAAGCCATGGACGTCGCTGCGATGACGACGCAGGCTCGCGGCATCGCCGTAGGCAACGGAGCAGGGCTCGTAGGTGGCGTCGCGGTTGACCCAGACGTGTGGGCACTTAAACTTGTTATCACGACCACTAAGAGAGCGGTTATTGAGATGACGACCGGCATGAAAGGCGCGACATGGTACTTACTGTGCAGTCTTCAGGTGCTGCACCAGGTTATGTGCCTGCTTGAAGCCTCTGCCGACTTGCCTACAGCCGGACAGCTTGCAGAACACTTTGCTATGGAAGCCATCAGTGGATATTGCGGGAAGTAGTTGAGCGGTTACTGACCATGTATCAGAGTGTTTGAGCATGTGGCGTGGAAAGTCGCTCAGGCGGGCGACAGACTCATTGCATACTGAACACCAGTACTATAAACGGGACGTGGTGTTTGTTAGTTCGTGCAAACGCTGCCCGTAGATCGGCATGACTTACTCGGATTGAGGGGGCCTTCCCGCGGTCGGAGAACACCAATCCTCTGGTGTATGCTCCGTCCGAGACACCATTCGCGTGGTTGCGTATGGGGGCCATGACGTACGAGGAGGATGGAGCGGGTGTGGGTGGGTGCTAGTATGGGCGGGAGGGGGCTACGGAGGTATAGTACCTTCGGGAGCGAGGGGAATCGTTTAGATATGAGGGAACTCGACTCTAGAAGGTCGGGGGTGGTGTTCAAACGAACCAAATCATCCCCCGCTTTATAGCTTTGCATCCTGGGGGAATTCGCCTCTCGATTGCTCTCTGGACGAGCACGGATTGCTTTTCGCCATGTATAGCAGTTCCTTAAGTCTTCCAATCACAACCAAACAACGACACTGGAGGGGCGCGACATACCGCCTCGTGTCCTGCCTGACAAGGCAATTGTTAAGTGGCGCAGAGCAGCCCTTGTTGCTACTGCCTGTTGCAGCATGTTTGTTATATTGTTTGTTCCTGCCCATCATGCTTGACACTTACCATCCCAAGTAGTTTTTCTGGGGGCCCATGTATGCAGCTGTTTGGCTGGCCACGCCTTTCGACCAGATTCTCTCTGCCCAACATGCGATGTCTCTGAGCCACACCGTTCCCGGGCCGCCACTCAGGCCAACAATTACCTCTAGTTAGCTCTGATATATAACACATAACAAGTTCAATGCTCACCAGTTTTACTACCAGTAGATGCTCCTCGTCACTCGTTGAACACTATCCCATCCTCGTACAAAATCGCTTGTACTGGTATTGCACGTGATGACCAGCGCGCTTAGCGCTTGGTGGCAAGAAACGGGGCCGGCGTGCTTTGTCCCAGCTTTGTTCCTCTCAGCTGCCTGCTACCCGGGGCGTATACCTGGGAAACAGGTGCGTGAGTGACGCGAATTGGCGATGAGACTTCCCTGCATAGAGCGACTAGCACCGTCAGCGCTGCGTTCACCTGAGCCACAGCGAGAGTACGCACGAAGAGACCAAGTCGTGCCGGCCACGGCGCACTGTTCAACTCACGGCCGTGCCAAGCAGCCCCAGACGAAGACGCAGCGACATCGACGAGCCAAGTGCGCGTTCCAGTCGAACGCGTCGTTGATGTACTTGTTCACGTCGATCCAGTGGTTTGGTGAAGTAGGCGTCATGTCTTCCATGACGGGGCGTCCGATGCGCCTGGCACAAGGGCCATATATACACGGAGTGTCTCTCGAGAATCAGAGGCGGTACAGCTAGCATATGTCCTGTGCCCATATCATAACGAGGGACCGCCAGACGGTCGCGATGCTACGATTGCCACAAAGCTCACTTGCGTGCGCACCTCCTCGCTGTAATTTCCGATATGAACAAGTCCGCTGTCATTGACGAGTCGCCTGGCATGTCTACGCAGCGTGAGATGAATGACGGTGGAGAACTCTTCTGTCGTACAAGGCGACAAACCGTAGGAGTCGAAGCCCCACACAGGCTCCTGAGCCTGGCACGAACCGTATTGAGGACAGGCTGGCACACCTTCATGTCGAGTTCAATTGGAGGTCGACTAGCACGTGCTGAGTGAAGTCTGATGTAGGCTTGGCATCTAGATCGCGATTCTACTGAGCTGGCCGCAGAAGTTGACCCTCAGATCTTCCGAAGCAGGACAGGCTGACGTCGAGGTGATCAAGGGGAGGTCGGCTCTTGATTCTGTGTGAACCGAGCCGTCTGCAAAGGTCGTCGCAATTTGGTCAGGATCGCAGTATGTCGATGAGTAGCAGGAGACCACCGCTTCCGGGACGTACGCTCGTTATACAGGTTAGTGTTGCACATTGTGGCCCCGCCCCACAGCTCTCGTATGCACTTCAAGCAAGAGGACGCCCGGGGTCAATACAGAGAATTGAAGGGACATGTCCTAGGCGAGCATCGCAGAGATAGACTCCAGAGGGTCCGCAGAGGGGCAGTAAAGCAGCAACGAACCGGTCCTCATGAGTGTCAATGAATGCCGCGTGACATGCTATTGTTATGTGCGTCTACATTCACGGTTTTGGAGCCGATTTGTTGAATATCGCCTGATAGGGCTGCGTTAGCGGTATTAGTCTGTTACTTAGAATACTGCGGTCAACCGAGATTCACTTATGTGAGAATACGCGGCTGACCATCAGGGTTTCCGAACAGCGCATAGATTCAAAAATTCTGAAGGGCGAAGGTATGTTGTTCTGAAGCCAACGATTCGAACGTGGAGGTCCTTCGTACGATTAGGGAGCCACATATCGCTATGCCTGAGTGGCTGCTGTCAGGAGTCGAACGAAAGACACTATAGCTCGGGATGTTGACCGTTTGAAGATTGTGGTGGAGTGTGATGGCAGCATACAAGCGCCCTAGGACTTCATGATCCATCATTAACAACTCCTCGCGTATACATGCAGTCGCGACTTCGGCAACATGCACGCAAAAGCAACGTCTTCGCTGACCAACCTCAGGATTTGCCCATCGTACATAGTGGTGTTTTCAGTTTTTGATTTTGCGCAGTAACGTGGGCATGGGATAATACAACGCAATACGTGGGGAGGGCGTACAGAGATGCAGTGTGGGACGAAAGCACCAGAGCGACATAGATACGTGAGGTAGGGATGGAAGGAAATCAGTCGAAGAGACCGAAGCCCTACACACGCACACACCGTAGCATCAGCCATTGCGCCGAAGACACGCACGACACTGAGGAGAGGACATACCATGTCGTCGTCGGACTCCTCCTTCTCCTCCTCCTTCTTCTCCTCCTCTTTGGGTGCCTCGGCGGCAGCGCCACCAGCAGCCGCGCCGCCCGCCGCTGGTGCGGCTGCGGGACCGGCACCGCCAGCACCAACGTTTGAGAGGAGCTCCTTCACATTCTTGCCCTCGAGGGCTTTGGCGAGAAGGCTCGCCCAGATTGGCTCGAGCTCGATGGACGCCGCCTCGGTCAGCGCAAGGATCTTGTCAGACTGCATGACACAAGTCGCAGAGGACGGGTTAGGACGGCGAATTTTTGCAGAGAGGGGGGAGAAGATACTGACAGTAATCTCAACGCCATCGTCGGCGAGGATTAGCGCGGCGTACGTAGCGGCGAGTTCAGTGGAGGCCTGAAGATCAAGGAGTGGGGATGTCAGTCTTCTGTTGATTTGGAGCCTTGGGCTACATCCGGAGGAGTCGTGTCCAATCCAGCAGTCTCCCGAGTTTTTTCAAGCGCAACGACTACCAGGATGCGCTCGACTAAGCCTGCAGATACTGTACTGACCATTGGGATAGTTTTGGGGGGCCGGGAGGACGAGCTTGAGGCGATGGGACGGACTGTGCTGGAGGAGGCGGCTGCTATCAAGCTTTTCGGGGGCGCTGGGCGGCCCCGCTCCACGTGGCTCGAGAGCCCAGATATGGGACACTAGACGCCCAAGTACATCTCAGCCGTCATCGTGACTCGTCACTGTCGAAAGTTTGAACACGTTTTGACTCACGATGACCCCGCATGAAGTCACGTAAATGGTTTCACAACTAGCCGATAATCGTGTGAGACTAGAGACTTCGATAGATGACTCGAACCTATCACTCGCGGAACGACAGATGCACGACGGGCATTGGCCAATGGCGCGGTTTCAAACAGGACCGGAGACAGGCTTGGAAATGTACTCCTGTCACGGTCACGTCCCAAAGCCTAGTTCCGGACCCGAGCCAGCCCGCGCTCTGATACCAGAAACAGGATATCGGCGCTCCCGACCATCCAAAAAAGGAGCAAACACGCTGATGTCATATAGTTTGTCAGCACTAATATCCCTTTTCGGGGATTAGCGCCGGCTAGCTGGGGTCCGGAGCTAGGCTTTGGGACCAGGATCGGGAAAGGCGTACATTCTCGGTCCATTTCTTTGTCCCGATTTGGGTCCGGGGCATTGGCCAATGCCCGCCGTGATGTCAGGTTGAAACGCTTTATTGCCTGTATCTACTGTGGTCCCTAATAAGGCTTATCTAGTAGATTTTTCCGCCCCGAAAGGCGGTCAGGCGCGAACGACAGATGTCGTTTGGAGCGATCCCAGCTAGCACACTTCTCATGTTGCGCTTGCAGACGAAAACATGAATTGAACTTTGATCATACATGGCATTACACTACGCAAGCATTCTGTCAGTGTCAATGAACAAGAATTCTCGGGAGCAGGACTTACGATCTTCTAATTCATCCCCATACAAGTGAACCAAAACATTAAGCCTGCCCTTAGTGCTTGTCAACTACAGGAGTGGGCGATTTCTGAACCTGCTCTACACGGCCATCATGCCATTTGATCGTGACACTACCGTCCTGGTTCCCGAAATACGCAGCCTTCGCCATGTGACAGAAGAGACCGACTTCAACGATACCTGTAAGCATCTTGATGCGACTTAGGAGCTACATATAGAAGCCGACATTTAGCTCTCCCTGCTGATTTTATCTAGGCAAGGCGCACAGGACGCACCGTGTAGGGGTCGCTCATGATTTCCGGGGGGAAAGGTGCGTCGATGATGAAGTTTCCGTTGTCGCTGACAACCGGACCTGCCTTCGCCTTGGCCATTCGTAGCGAGGCGTTAGGGGAGCCAATAAGGTGCAGGTTCTGGAGAATCTTGGTGTACGCGAAGGGTACGACCTCGATCGGAATACCTTGTGGGAACTGAGAAAATTAACGTGAGAGGAGTCACCGATGCGGAGAATGGAGCGAAACCTACGCTCGTGCCCAAAATGGTTGAGTTCTTGCGGTAGTCCGCTACGAGAACGAAGCTGAGCCGAAGTATGTTAGGGCGGTGCGTCTGACATTGGCGCGATAAACTCACGTATCAGCAGCCTCTGCAAGCACCTTCTCACGAAGGTGGCAACCGCCTCCGCCCTTGATGCAGTTCAGGTCATGATCAACCCTGTCATTCCCATCCTCAGCTTACGCTCCCATAGTAGGGCCGGTCATGTGCATCTTACTCATCTGCACCATCGATAGTCACGTCAATCATGGGGTATTGGTCGACGTCTCCCAACAGGAGCTGAGACTTCACGATCAGCTCCTTGGACTGGAAGCCTACCAACAGTGTATGCCTCAACACTAGCTCTGTGAAGCGATGGCAGCAGTAACGTACCCGTTGGGATGAAGACGCGGTCCTTGTTTACCTCCTTCCCCTGCGCAACAATTCGCTCAACGACGTATGGTACGGTCGAACCTGAGTCGGACCAGCGGTAAGCATAAAATCGGACCATGTATGATGCAAGCGCCTTACCAGAGCCAATGCCGATGACCTACGCACAAGCTGGAATAAGCGAGAGAAAAAACGTTGACCGCTGACACATACCTTGTGTTCAGGGAGAATGTGCCTGTCCACCGCGGTCCAAGCAGCTAGGCGCTTCGCCGCTTCTACGACAGATGTCGGTGTAGGTACTGTTCATGCAAGCATGAGGGATCGGGCTAAGTGCAAGGAGGGTTCTCAGACCTTTGGGAATAGCAGCTTCGACCAACCCAGTTGCGGCAGTGAGCGTCGGGCGCCGTGGCTTGGGGTACACTCCGCCCGTCGGAGTCCTACAAGCCAAAGAATGGGTAGAGAGCGACGGTTGTGGGACGATGGGGCCAGCGAGCATGAGCGACATATAGACGAGCAGTTGGAGGTCGTTGTCAGAGTTGTATGGGATGACTCACGAGAGGTCCGGGGTGAACACCGCTGGGGGGATCGGCATCGTGAAAGTTCTCCTCAAAGACGCTGTGGTCGAGTATCGAATCCGGGGTGTGGAGCGAGGTGACGGATATGAACGGGAAGCGGCTTTCGAGAGTGGTCCGACGTCGCAACGCAGCAGGAAATTATTCTGATTGAGACGGAGGTGGGCGATGAGCATAAGTCAAGGGCGTCGGAGAGTCGTCGTTACGTCTCTATATCCGTTCCGGTTTCGGCAAACCGCCTGGGACTCTCGTCCGCGCGGCGTCAACCGGGCTTGTACCTTGTCTTGTGGCTACATCCCCCTTCCTGCGCTCTTCGCAGCGGCCGTGTGGATCTCTGGGAACTCGCACCGATTCGGACTGCAGGGCGCAGGAGATGAAGGCTATAAGAGGTGTGTGCTGCGAGAATTCCGGGACGACGCCGCTTATGGCTGCTTCCTGGCCAGGCGTGCTTCTCACCTGGTCAGCTAGATGAGACTTATACCCCCGCCGATCGAACGTTATCTAATCTTTGCCGCAGTGACTCCGCGGTGAAGCAGATCCTCCTGACGATGAACGAGAAGGGCAGCTTCATCATAGAGGACTTGGATGATAATCATCTTGTGATCAAGGCGGACGAGGAGTATCGGGTGAGGAGGGAGCTTGAGGCTGAGGTGAACTTACCGTTCTGTGAACATCCGAATGCGATGCTGAGACATCTCGTATAGCTGGAGAAAAATACCTACAGCTTGGAGTGAATCCGAACTTACGCGTCGCCCTCGTCGATTGTATCGTCTTCACGGCACGCTGCTGTACATATCCGCGACTCGTTCAAATGACAATTCCGGTTACCCACGATAACCATTAGGTTTTGTATGTCAAACGCTGCGTACCCCAACTCGCAAGTGCCTCGACCGCTTCTTCCGGGGGAGTCAGCATGCTCCGACCGCCGCGGCCTTGAGGCTGGATACTCGGCGCCTGTGGACATCGATCGCTTTTTCACTCCCTCTTGTGAGTGTCATTCGGACTTCGCGAACAACTATCCCGCGGGGCTTACAGTGCCGTGGAACACAACGGTTTCAGCATTACAATTCAGAAAGAATCACGGCGATGTACGAAGTAACCGAGGCGAACGTGAAGCGCATCCTCGATCACCATCGCGGAGGATCCACAATTATCGCGGAGTTCTCCCAGATTCATCTGCACGGTTTTGGGTGAGTGTGATTGTTCTACATGTAATTAGGGGGGGGTGCGCGTTAGATTAGAGCTTGCTTCTGCGTTCGCTAGCCTTCCGACAAACCCCTTCCTTGAGTGGACCAGGAGTATCTACGCCTCTCAGGCCCTCAAGGTGGCTCCCGCCAGAGTTTGCATCGGGAGGTTGATGAACGTCGAGGGAAAGTTCTATCTATAGCACCTTGCCGGATCTACTGCTAAGCACCTGTTGCACTTCTAACGTGAATATAGTGCCTTTACGCCCAGTCGGACGTACTACGTATGCGTTGACGATGGAACGTCGTACATCATGAAAACGGCCGCGCCCACATCGACTGATTCAGGAAACTATTCTCCCAATTCTCTCGAAACGGAACACGCGCTCTTGAAAATCGTCGCATCCCAAACGAACCTGCCCATCCCAGCTATTTACGCCTTCGATATCTCCGCGACGCGCGTCCCATTCTCCTACTTGCTCCTCGCGCACTCCAAAGGGGTTCCGCTTACACTCGCGCGCGCCTCAGGGAAGCTCTCCCCGCGCCAGGCCGCCCTGCTCGACCTGCGCCTAGGATCGTATCTCAAGCAACTCCACGAGCGGGTCCAGAATGATTGGTTCGGCTTCCCGACCCAAGCAAAGGACGAGCTGTATAGCTGGCAGGAGGCGTTCACTCTCCTATTCGAGACGGTCCTCGAGGACGCGCGCGAGGCCGGAGTCGCGCTGCCGTACGAGGACGTACGGCGGTACCTCTCGCGCGCGATCGGGTTTTTCCTGTTCGACGACTGCGAGGTACCGTCGCTAGTGTCGTTCACGGGCGATGAGGACTCAGTGCTCGTCGACTTCGACTTGATAAGCGGGGTTCCGGAGGACAGGGAGATCCAAGTGACGTCCTTCGTGTCCGTAGGGCATGCGCTGTGGGGCGACCCGCTGCTGGAGACGCTCTTTTTGGAGCCGAGCGCGGCGTTTGTGGAGGGGTATGGTGGCCCGCTGGTCGTGTTTGCGAGGCAGAAGACAAAGCGTCTGTGGTATACATTGTTCTTGGCACTCGTCATCCTCGTGCAGGCGAAGCGTCCAGGACTCGAGGAGGGTGACCATGAAAAGGTGAATTGGGCGAAGGAGACAGCGGAGAAGAGTGTGGTTGCGCTCAAGGATGCCCCATGCTATTAGTGAGTAGGTGAGCGAGGCCTCAATGCTTCACGAAAACAGGTCACTGATCGTGTATGTTATAGGCCGTCGTGCCCTACATGTCTGCGCCTGTTGAGGACTCCTCGTCGTGTTACCGCCAGAGCCCTACGCCGGACTGTAAACAATGTAGTGAATCTATGCATCACCTTCCTGCTCGTCAACGCGTCAGCCTTCTGTGTAACGTTATCTCGCCCTCTGTTCTCCTGAGCAATCATGTGACAAGGGGTCTGACCTTTGGTGGGCAGGCTGTAATTGAGGTCGTTTCCAGATCCTTCGGATTCCCCTTTGTTGTATGTCCGTCTCTTACCGTCAAGGTGTAGCGTTCACGTCACTTGTTGGCTTTAGGCTGCGGGGACATCAGAGAAGGCCACGTGGTTGCCGAACACTGTCCGTGCCGAGCTCCATTGTCTCTAGCCATTCAAGTGCTCGTTTGGCTCGTGATAGCCCCTGTGCTCCGGGCCCTTCCGTCTAAAGCGGCAAGGTGGGGACGCTTAGCCCTGGTGTCCGTGGTGCGGTCACTTCATTCATTTCACTCTTGGGTCGAGCACTGATTTCGCTGCTTTGTACTGTAGGTGCGATGCCTGACACCTATCGCAAAGCGGGACATATGGCTGTGGGCAATCGACGCGTGCATGGCCCATACCAAGCGTTGGCTGCGAACTTCCTAGGCGCCGCTCAGGTTAGTCACGTGCACGAAGTCTTATCCTGCCGCTAGATGGGAGACGGTCGAAGGAACCGCAGGAATCGACAACAGGGAAGGATTGGCACGCTAAATACAGCATGATGAAAGCTGTAAACACTGACGGGCCATCTGTGCGGGATACTCAACTGAGTGGCGGGCAGCTTGGAGGCGTCGCAACGGCGGACGGACGACTCGGACTCAGCAAGGATATTTTGACCAACTAAACAGGTGCATACACAGCCGACAAGGAAACTTACTTGTTATGGCAAGTTTTTGCACGTACGAGCGGCGGGGACAAATAGGTGAACAAACATATCGCAACAGACAAAAGCGACGAGTGCCGGCCCATGAGACCGACAATTGCCATGCCAGGCAGGGCACGAGGTAGTATGTCGCGGCCGTTCGAGTGTGGTTGTTTGGTCAGGATTGCCACATTGACAGAACTGCCATAGATAGCGAAAAGCAATCCGTGCTCGTCCTGAAAGCAATCGAGAGGCCAATCCCCTCATGATGCGAAGCTATAAAGCTGGGGGTGTACTTTGGTCGTCTGGACACCACCACCGACCTCCCAGAGTCGAGTTCCTTCGCCTCCCCAACATAACTACCCGTATACCATCCTTCCGAGCCACCTCTCCCGGATCATACCACTCATCAATCCCCACCCTACCTCTTACCCTTTCGCAATGGCACCTATACGCGGACAGACGGGCAGCGAGCTCGATGAACCAGAGTACGTCGAAGAGTTCGTACTTAACGAGGTTGGAGACTTTGTTGTGCGAGTGCGTATCCTATCGAGTCCGTTTCATCGTTCAGACTCGTTGACAAGTTGCCTCTTCCCAGTTCAAATGTCGGACATGCGGGACTTCAACAGGCCGCAAGGCCGACTTCGAGCGCCATATGAATGATAAGCACCGCCCCCCTCAGTACGCATCAGCTACTCACATCAGCATTACTCCCGCTAACGAATGCTTCAATAGGTATTTTTGCGACTTCCCAGGTTGCGATCGTGCCCTTGACGGCTTCACTCAAAAGGGCAATTTGAAAACCCACAAGACCTCTGTACAGTGAGTACCATTATCAATGTCTGCCCTCTGTAGATCGCTCTGATACGACCTATGATTCAGCTTGAAGCTCGCCTTGCATCATTGTCCGCATCTTTGGGTAGACCCGCACAACGGCCGAATCTTCCCTTGTCGACGCAAGTACAGGGATGGCTCCGCTCTCACCAGGCATCGGAGCTTGAAGCATGGTTTCGAGCCTGGAGACGATGTTTCCAAAGTCGCAGAACCGACGCCTGTGGGGACGCGGTTCCCAGATTCCAAGTATGCACCGCGCAAGAGGCTTCAAGGCTCCAAGAGCGTAAAGCGCGCTTTCACCTCTCTGTCTGTCGCCGGACGATCATCTGCGCCCTACACTGTGCCGCCCCCTTCTACCCGCCGCTCCTCGAGGAAGAATGTCTCCAGGACGGCGGTAATGAAGCAAGAGCAGGAGCACGATCTCGCTGCCCTGCATCCTGTAACTGTGGGACAGCCCTGTCACCCTCCGCCCGTCACAGTTGTTGGGTGGGACATGGGCTCCTCCAGCGAGCAACTCCAGGATGGTGCATGCGTCGACGACTCCCTCAAGGACCCTGAAGTCAAAGCGTTATACGACGCCCTCTGCGCAGAAATCTCGCGCGCTTCTTTGGCCCCCCAGATCCCGACTCAGGTTTTGTTAGCAGCAGATCACTACTGGACGCTCGACCCCCACTTCCCAGCCTTGGATTGCCACGTCGCCGGCACGGCGTCCGACGGAGTGGTGACCCCGACTGCCCGCACCATCCCTAAGCCTTCCGGAATGACTACGTCCGAGCAGACGAACATGCTGAACGCGGGTCTGGGTCCGTTCCCAAACTACTACGACAGTACTGCGAACGCATCGCTGTGGGACGAGTCGGTGGTCCCGGCTTCATCTGCGCCCCAGGAACTGACCTCGTCTTCCGACAACGCCTACTCCACCGGATGGTCGCAGTGGATTCCGAACTCCATTCTGGACATGCCTGAGAACCACGCCTGCCTGCAGCTCTGAAGGGGCAATTCCGCGTTGTGGAGCATAGGGCTGTTCATCTTGCTGTCCGTCCTTCAGACTTCCGCGCGACTCTTCTACCCTCTCTCGTAACCATCTATCATTTCGCATCCCACATCTTACATTATTTCTGGCATCATCATCTTCCGGGACACTTGCATTCGGCTCGCGATTTTCATCAGTCTAGATCTGCAGTTTCTCACAATCTGGTATCCTACTCCATATGACTTTGTACGCGTAATCTTGACATTATATGGTCCCGTTAGAAGCAATGTATACTTTTATAGCGCCGATGAGTGTACGTAGAGGCGACGAAATCTCAGAAAGTCATTCACTTCCCATTAACCAAAACATCCGGGGCGCCCAATGAACGCATCACCGACAGGCGCTCAACGTCGCTTCTCGTTACCTCAGGCTATCATCGTCCACGATGTTCGAGCTCTTATCCTGCTGACCTGCCTTCGACTCACAAGCACAGTGCTTCTCAAATGGCGCGTCGGCCCGTATTGCGAGAGTCTTCTCTCTGTACCGTTGCTACAGGGCCGATGATCCAGCAGGCTGCTGCATAACCACCGTAGTCTTGCAATTGGCCAAACTACTGCAAAGAGGATCTCACATAGATGCCTTTTAAATTCATGAGCTAGTACGCGTCGTATGTCATTGCAATACTGTGGTCTGTTGTCATGACATACACTCACTCAAAATCGATATCAAAGGCAGAGTTATGTACCATGTGCTCGTCGCTTGAGCTTCGCATATATCAGCCGCGCAGCCAGTCATGCACGCCAGATGGACATATCCGCTGAGTGTGCCGTATTTCGGCGAGGGTTCGTGATCCCCAACTTGCTCTCGAACTATCTCTCTATTCTATATCGTGACCGCTGCAGTCGCGTGCTGTGGAGCTGAAGCGTGTTCGGTAGTCCAACCCCCATATGGTGTACCGCCTCCCTAGAGCTCTGCCCGCTACACCCTCCATTTGATAAGGCCTGAGCTCACTAAATATGGCAGCCCTTTGAGATGTTCTCACTCTGTAGCACACTTCTATCTCTGACCTGATGCTGAACCAGAAGGTGCCCATGCGGAGGATGATGTACCAGTACGCACAAATCTGCATCGCTGCGCGCGTATACTGGGCGCAACGCGACCACCGACCACGTCCTCGTCTTCTCGTGGGTGGCAGAGACTATAAAGAGGTACAATACGCTGCTTCCGCTATGCCAAGGGCATCCCCCTTTGAGCGTTGCTCTCGAACCCCTGGTAGTCTGAGGTCGAGATGGTCTCTTTCCCGTTCGTATCCGCTCTTTCCATCCTGTCGTTTGGCGCGCTCAGCGCCATCGCCTTCGATAACTCTCGGACCGATAACGTGAGTTCCTTCAGACGACGTTCTCTGTGTGTTCGTTCATAGCTTACTTGTATCGATGTCAGCTCGCGGTGTAAGCCCCCGATATTCTGTACTTATGTCTACTAACGCATCCCTGTCCCTTAGCTATTGGGGTCAGAACTCATATGGTGCTACCCACACCGACACCGCGAACTTCCAGAAGAACCTCTCGTACTACTGCCAGGATGAAACCATCGACGCCATACCCCTGGCTTTTCTGAACGTGTTCTTCAGTACAGGCAACCTTCCCTCCCTCGATCTCTCCAACGTAGGTTTCGAATCACGGCTCCATTCGGAACGAGATACTGAAACGCCTTCCAGATCTGCAATGTCGTGGATGATGCAGTCTTCTCAGGCACTAACCTGCCCGACTGCTCGTTCATGGCCGCGGACATCCAGGCTTGCCAGGCTGCGGGAAAGATCGTCACGCTCTCTCTTGGAGGTGCGACGGGTGGCGCAGGCTTTTCTTCCGCAGACGAGGCGACCTCCTTTGGTGATACCATCTGGAACTTGTTCCTTGGCGGCTCGAACGATACTCGTCCATTTGGGGATGCTGTTCTTGATGGGTAAGTGACTTTTGTATGCCAGAGGAAGGGGCTGACGGTGCTTGTAGCATCGACCTTGATATCGAGGGGGGGAGTACCCAATACTTCGACTCGTTCGTCAACCGCATCCGCTCCCTCGCGAGCAGTGCGAGCAAGCAGTACTACGTGACCGGCGCTCCCCAGTGCCCCTACCCTGACGCTTACATGTCCACGTAAGTGTCGACTAGCATCCACGTTAACTACCTGAATCACGCGCTCAAGAGTGTCTTCATCCTTCATCCTTTAGCGTCCTCAACGCCGTAGCGTTCGATGCAGTCTACGTCCAGTTCTACAACAATTACTGCGGGCTGCCCAACTTCAACGACTCCAACTCGTGGGACTTCAGTTCCTGGGATGACTGGGCGAAGAACACCGCCGTCAATAAGGACGTCAAAATCTACATAGGCGCGCCTGCCTCGAGCACCGCCGCAAATTCAGGATACGTCGACGCCTCCACACTCGCGAACATCGCGCTCGAGACACGCAGCCAATACTCTTCTTTTGGTGGCGTAATGCTCTGGGACGCTTCGCAGGCCTACGGTTCGTCCCTGTCTCCCACCCCGATTGGGTAGCTTCTCACACTCATGCACTTGCTCGTGGCAGTGAACGGTCGGTTCGATCAGGCCGTCAAGAATGCTATCCGCGAGAGCGACTCCATCATCTCCAGCTCGGCCTTCGCGACATCGGCCTCCAAGGTGTCGGGCACCACCCGTGTCGCTTCTGCCAAATTCACCACGGCGGCAACAGTCGACTCGTGTGCGGATATCCCCGCATGGGTGGCCAACGTAGCCGTAAGTCAATCATCCTCTGTGAATCTTCTATATTAGACGAACTAACATATGGTGTAATCACGCAGTACAATAGCGCGCAGAACGTGATCCACAATGGCCATCTCTTCACTGCGAAGACGTTGACGGCGGGCAGCACTCCGGGGAGTGCGTCCAGCGATTGGACCGATAATGGGGTTTGTGCCTCGTACAATGCCCCGATCCCGACTCAGACTTCAGCGGCTCAGTCCGCCCTCAGTCCGGCGCGATCCCCAACTCGGTGAACGAAGCAATTTTTTCCAGATCGCGCTTCACGAAAGCGATGCTTATTTTAAAGACACCAAAGTCACATCAGCTTCTATCTACTGGAACTTCTCATGTAGCGATGTTCTTGGATGTATATACTGTAGTCATAAGAATCTCGTTTACTTCACCTTCGGTTGACTTCGTTCCCAGTTTCGCCTACAGCAAATCGTCCATGTGAGGTGCACGGAACTTGCCGATTTGTGGAGGATTGCATTGCCGCCCATGGTCATGCGTGTCCTCCTGTGTGATTTTCTCCGCCAACCATTTTCCCTTACGCTGCACATGAAGCGTCGACATTTCTGCGTCCCACGCACTCACTAGAAGACCTGGAACGACTGGATTCCATGTTCTGTAAGGCGAGTGCTCTCATGATCTTGTTGAAGCCCCGCCGACTGGACCACGGGCTCCCCAACGGACCGTTGTACTATGCGAAGGAAGTAGCCAGGCGGGCCGCTCAAGGTTCTTGCGGCCGTGTAGCAAGCAGGTGATGTAGACGTCAAGAGATGGATCATCCTGTGTATTCGAGTCCGTCGTGCACCATGGCGTGTGAGCGTGCACTCGGAGTGGCTCATGGATACGATGTCGTCGATACGATGTCAATCGTGGTGCGATGCGACCTACTCTTCTCGTGCTGGCTATCGGCAGGGCGTCTTCTGTGTGCATTTGGGCAGTGGCCTAGTCTTTCCCTATGATCACGGAACTCTCCCGTGCCCGCATGTCAGTCGGAGAAATCTTATAAGAAGCTTCTCAAACATGCGGATCCGCAACAAAGAAGGCCTCACGTTATCTCCGGCTCGGCTATATAACGTCCATGCTATAGCAGCTTTCGTCTATTGCAAACCATTGCCATTTCGCAGCCATGCGTACAGGACACTTCGCGGTCCTCTGTTTCGCACTTTCGGTCGTGCACCGCTGTATGGCGCAGAGGCCCACATTAGGTTTGCAAGATGGGTTTCTCAACTTCACTACGCCGTCTTTCAGCGTGCAGCTTGTGAAGGACTCGCAGACTCTGTACTCGCTCAAGACTAAAACCCAGGGCAACTCTACCGCGTTCGACTTCATTCCTGCGGACGTCATGGATCAACGCCAGTACGACGGAAACTACCACCTCGGAGACGTCACCTTTCGCGCTCGGACAGTCGGATCGACTACTTGGATTAGTGGCGACACAGCTGCTGCCCGCAAAAACGTCTCAGCGCTCCCAGCATCAGGAACGATTCTCGCTGCAGCTAATCTGCTTCCGACGCTGCCTGACGGTTCGCTCCTGAACATTACGCGGAGATGGGTTCTCGAGAACAATTCCTTCCAACTGTTGTTTGATGTCACAAACTCGCAGAAGAAGGCTGTGGAGATTGGCTCCCTTGGCGCGCCGCTCGAGTTCAACAATGTACGTTGTCATTCTAGATGCGAAATGCAGATCCAACGTTCACCGTCTTTGTAGATCTTCACGGGACGGACTGCCGCCGAGACCAACGAGCTCTGCAGTCTCTTTGATCCCTACATCGGTCAAGACGCCGGTTATGTTCAGGTCACTCCCCTGCTTGGAACGCTCCCGCCTCTCCTCGTCCTTCCCGTTGGTAAGTCCCCGCTAGAGGGCTGGCGCTTCCTCCCAGAAGACACCTCGCAGCCTCTCGGATACCAATCTCAGACGTTCGAGGCACTCTACGAATGGCAATTCCACAGTCTCGCGTACGCGGAGAACGAGTGGAAGAACGTCACCCCGTGGAATGCGCCGACATCCGCTACGCTGCAACCTGGGGAAACGCGGACGTATGGCTTCCGATTCGTACTCGCAGACTCCATTCGTGGTATCGAGTCTGCACTACAGGAGGCGAAACGTCCTGTGGCGGTCGGCATACCTGGCTATATCGTTCCTGCGGACCAGCAAGGAAAGCTGTTCCTCAGCTACACCTCTGCCGTCAAGTCCCTTTCTGTCAGCCCGGCGGGCGCTCTCTCCTGGACGAGCAACGCGGAAGCGAAGACGTCCGACTGGGTCGGGTACACAATAACTCCGCAGACGTGGGGTCGCTCCCGTCTCACGATTACCTACACCGACGACACCGTCCAGACTGTCCACTACTACGTGACTAAGGCCGCCGCACAGGCCATTGCCGATCTCGGGAATTTCCTGACGACCGAGTCCTGGTTCGACGACCCGACAGACCCGTTCCACCGCTCGCCGTCGGTGATCAGCTACGATCGCGAAGTCAACGCGGTTGTGAAGAACGATGAGCGTGCGTGGATTCCCGGCCTGAGCGACGAGGCAGGGGCGGGGTCGTGGCTCGCGGCGACGATGAAACAATTTGGGCAGCCAAATGCGGACGAGGTCGCGAAGCTTGAGAGGTTTGTGAACGAGACGCTGTGGGGATCCATACAGAACTTCAACGGTATGTCTCGCTTGAATTCGCAAGAGCTCCAGCTGATGCGCGTCTGCTACTCAGGTACCGTGAAGAAGGTATACTCGTTCGCGTTGTCTACGATTCAGGCAGCCAACTAACTTCGCTCTGCAGTCCGTTTTCTTCTACCAACCTGGCCTCGTGCCTGGTTACACTTATCCGTCGACGATCGACTGGACGCAATGGTGGTCGTGGAACCAAGCTGCATCGTACGCGACGGACCGTGCATACGATTATGTGCATGTCACCGCCGCATACTGGTCGCTGTACCGTGTCGCGCGTAACTACCCAGACATTGTCAAGACTCACACATGGGAGTGGTACATCAACCAGGCGGTTCTAACAGTGGCGACTATGACCGATGGGCAAGTGGGCTATGCAGATGATGGGTTGATGGAAGAGACGGTGATCATCTACCTTCTGAACGACTTAAAGAGAGAGGGCTTGGCGGCCAATGCTACTCTTGTGGAGAGCCGTATGCAAGCCCGCCAGAAAGTATGGGCTGGGGAGCAATTCCCGTAAGAGTCTTCGTGCGTTCGCTCCGACCAGTCTCTGATGCTGTTCGTATGCCAGCTTCGGCTCTGAGATGGCTTGGGACTCTACTGGTCAAGAAGGGGTGTATGGTTGGGCGACGTACTTCAATGACACTATTACTGCCATCAACTCCCTCAACTCTATCCTCGCATACCAGCCGACGGTCCCCCATTGGGGATACAATGGAAACGCACGTCGCTACTGGTGAGTCCCTTCGGCCATACCCTGTGAATTGGACTCACGATCCTCGGGCAGGGACAACATCTACGGGGGAAAGCTCCAGCGCGTTGAACGGCAAATTCACCACTATGGCAGCGGCCTGAATGCGATACCGCTCATCACGCAGTTCCGTTCTACGCCTGACGATTATTACCTCCTTCGCGTCGGTTTTGGTGGCCTCAGCGGGCCGCTCTCGAACATCGACCAAGGCGGTTTCGCATCCGCTTCCTTCCACTCGTTCGAGGACACGTTGAAGTGGGACGGCTATACGGGGGACTACGGCCCGAACTTTGTCGGGCACTCGCTGGAAATTGGGACGTACATCGTCAACCACCCGGATTTCGGTTGGCAGGCGTTCGGTGGGAATGTCGTTGCGACGACGCCTACCGTGAAAGTGCAGACGCGCGACTCACTGAGGCGGAGGGTGTTCGTCGCATCACTTGGAGCATGGTTATCGCTTGACGCGGGAGCATTCGAGGAGGTGGAGTACGATCCTGAGGGTAGGACGGTGACGCTAACTATTTTGCCGTCTTCGAGTGGCATCACATCTGCCGCAGCGGCGCCCAATGCTCGCCTGGTCGTGCAGAACACGGCTGATAACGGCATTGGAGTTCTGACGCCCGCCACGGACTTGTCGCAAGATGCCGGTGCTTGGGTTGTACCGTTCAAAAATGGTGTCGCTTCCATCAAACTGGGTTTGTGATATGTGTAGGGATCGCTTTTGGTTAGGAGATAATGGTGAACGATAGTTCAATCCATGATCAATAAGAATTCCGTTTCATAGAATGTCTATGCAAGGGGTACTGTATGGGAACGAGAAGAGCGGCGCAACTGGCGCCGCCGTGAAAAAGGAGATTTTTTAGAGGGAAAAAATCCTGAAGAAAGTGTGTAAGTAGAAGGGCATTAAAGATCGCGATTGAACTCACTCTTCGTGCAACTCCACGCCACCAACTAGGTTCGACTGCCCTTTGACGTCAAGGTCGCTAACTGCATTCCTCACAGCATCACCCAAACTTCCAGGCCCGCATGCCCCGACAAACACGCCTCTGCGCTCCCCACGATCAGAGATGGCATGCAATGTACGACCGACAACGTCGTGGACCAGGTGGTTTACCGGAGGGCGACCCGGTTCGAGAGCGAGGCCGGGCGAAAGAGCGTACTCTTTGAACTCGTGGTCAGATGTCACTGCACGCGTGTAGAAGACGGATATGGTGAGTTTGATGTCCAACGCGAGGGCCTGAGCGAGCATCGACGAGAAGGTCGGCAGAAGAGGCGTGAGGCAGTCGGGGTGGTGTACGGACCACACAAGCTCGATTATGCGAACGGTGTTAGATCCTGCTCGCGCGTACTGTAGAACCTCCTGGACGCCCGCGAGACCATACGAGATGCCGCTGCCGCCGACGACGTACATCGCACCTGATAAGCTGTGTGGCAATGTGTAGCCAGGACCGCCTGCGTCATACTAATCTTGAGCTGCCAGCCCTTGGAGGTGAAGGGGAAGACATACCGTAAGGGCCTTGGATGAGCACTTTCACATGACTTCCTGATTCTACTCCTTTTGTATTCGCCGCAGCGATTGCATGCAGAGCCTTGGTCCATCTCCCGCAATTCTTCGACAAGAGTACAAGACCCTCCGGGGCACCATGCGCCACTGTAGGTGCGGATGCGATAGTGTATGGGTGACTCTCCAGCCAGCCATAGAAGCCCATGCCCATGGAAAGGATGTGAACGCGGACGTGTTGACCCGCTCGCCAGCCGCCGTTGATGCTGGGTATGGTCAGCTCGGTCATACATATTTCGGGCAACGTCGTCACAGTCGCCGTGGCTATACGCGTTTTCAGGAGGCGCACGATACGGTCGACGCCGTAGAAGACTGCCCCGGCGATGACATATGGGACAGCCTGGCTCATGTGTAGGCTTACCTATACGCGGCGTTTGGGTTCGTCATTGAGACTGTATAGGGAATGAGAAGTACATACCGCGACGAGGAAGACGATGGAGGCAATGACGTGAGTGAATATGAACATATTGTAAAACTTCTGGCGGAACCACGCGAGAGAGAAGAGAAGGAGAATGTCGAGAAGAATGAGTGCCGTGAGGCCCCAAGCATATTGTGGCTGGGCGATGGTCCTCAACCAGCGACGCTCCCTCGTCCACAAGTAGACTGTGCGGGTATCAGCTTCATCCTCTTTGAAAGGCTGACCGACTTACTATAACCTATAGCGTGAACGTTCGCAGCAAGCACAAGGAGTCGCCCAGCAAAACGGTGAAGGTAGTTCAACTATAGAGGAAACAATTGGCGATCAGGTTGTCAACCTTAGAATTATCCGAGGAATGGCTGCCTACCTTATCATACGCGGTTCCCCACGCAACACTCAATACGTTATTCTTCGTCGCTAATACATACACGATCGGGATCTGCGACGCCGCGACCAGACCCGCACGCTGAGGATCCTTGAAGATCGAACTCTTGTACAGAGCCGCGAAGAGCAGTAGCCCGAAGTACAGTGCGCAGATGGCGACTCCGCCGGTGTGAATGCGCCCAATCATAGGATATCGGAGGATGCGCATCGCACCCGGGAATCGCGCCTGCCATGCTCTCATGTGCAAAGGATTCCGGACTTGGACAGCCTTCTCGGACACTGCAGAGGACGGAGTGATGCCGCCTGATTGCGTATCGCGCGTGAGATTTTCCGAAGAAACAGTACCCCGAGGGTTACGGACGTGTCTGCGGGAGCCTTTGCGAGGTCTACACGTTAGGCCGAGGCGATGAGGTAACGAAGAAAGGGAAAATGGAGGCGTACGGAAGAAATGACCATCTAGCCAGCCACCGCCAGGGCCGAACCTCGCGACAGCGCGGGGGAGGGTGAAGAGGAAGAACGCTCCCGCAACGCAGATGATAACGATGTCGGCCCAGAACACGACGGAAGCGTCAAGGTCTTGCGGGCCTGCACGGCGGACGATAGCAGGTGGTGGCTCGGGAGAATACTGCCTGTCGAGAGACGAGGTTGGTTTCCACTGCATCTTGGCTTGAGGACGGGAAGGGATCTGAAATCTTGCTTGGCCAAGTTGTGGTCGAAAGGAGGACGCCTTACAGCCATTCAATTTGGGGGCGGAAAGTCGCACCTTCCCAGTCTTATATGTGTCCATGTTGCAGGGAGGACCAGAACGAAATCCAGACGGCGGCTGGCAGCACATCAGATGTTACGCGCAGTACGATCCATTCGGTCGATATCGTCATGTTGTGGCTGGCAGACCGATGACTAGCATACAAGGCAAATGGTGATTCCATGCTCAGTGATTCTTACCCGGCGAACCCGGCACTGTCAGAGCTGTGCAATGATCGTCGACGGCCCTCGTTGCCTTCATCCATGTATACTCTCCCGCGGACGGATATGTAGGTGCCGCACGGCATTCTTGCACTCGAGGGTCCCAATCTCGCTATGAATAGCCAGCCAGCGGCGGAACCAAAACATATATTCAGATCGCGACAACACACCTCGATCGTGACGTCATTGGGCAGATATGGGCAGTGACTGGACTGTACGGCGGATAGTAGGCCCTGAACACAGGCGGTATGCTAAAGGTACCTCTAACTTCTAAGAATGTCTATCTTCAACTAGTTGATCCTATTAGTCTATGGGCGTAAGAAAAATCATAAATAGTGCAAGCCACACGGGGCGTGGGCTATGCGTCTATTCACGGCTCACATCCCTATTGCGGAATGAATACGCTGCAATGTAGTGGAAGACGTAGATGTTACTCACCGTCCGAAGAACTTGACCTTGAGCCAGTCAGTAGCGACGAGAGTGCGATTCCTCATGGAGAACAGGGTGCTCAAGTAGGCGCTACGCCAGAAGAGGAAGGTCGCGACACCTCCAGTAGCCAACTGTGATGCCGCGTCAGCTCGAATTGAAATCAATATTCAGACCAGACCGATTGCCACCCACATTGCCATTGAAGAACGGCAAGTCCGCAATCGCCTTGTCACTCCCGATATACGCCAGTGAGCCCTGGTGCGAATACTTGAATGGCCGCAGCTTCTCCAGCTTCGCGAGACGTTTCTCGGCCTGCTCGCGCTCCTGCTTTTCAGCCTCGGGGGCCGCATCCAGCTCCTTGAGGCGGTACTCAAGATTGTCACGCTTCGCGAGCTGGCCGAGGACGCGCGCGAGGTACGCGCCCTGCTGCGACGCGACCTGCGCGGTGGGCGCATAAGTTGTTGCGGTGCAGTCTCCTACGGCGAAGATGCTGCCGTCCGTGCCAGCCATGCGCATGCACTCTGCGAAGCGCGTCAGTACCATGCTCACAGAGCCGTGGTGAGCGAAGAGGACGTACCGTCGACCGTGATTCCGCGTCTGTTGTTCTGCGCCTCGGGGAGCTTGGCCATGAGGTCGCGGGTCACCTTGCGGAGCGTGTTGCCGGCAGCCCAGACGACGAGCCCGCAGGGGACCTCGACGATGCTCTTGTCGGGCATCTGGAGGACGACGCTCTTCTCCTTGACCTCCTTGACCATTGTCTTCGTCAAGATATCTATTTTGGCCTCCTTGAACGTCGACTCAGTGTAGTCAATCAGCTGCTTGCTGAACGACGGCAGCACGGACGGAAGGGCCTCCACCAAGGTGATCCGGACGCTCTCCGCAAGTTCGGGGTACCACGAGCGCAAATCCTCCTCGAGGAAGTCGTGCAGCTCTCCGCTGAGCTCGACCCCAGTGGGACCACCGCCCACGACGACCATGTGGAGGAGACGCTTGACCTCGTCGGAGGTCTGGCCGGGGAACGCAGCGGACTCCATGCAGTCCATGAAGCGGCGCTGCATCTTCTCGGCGTCCTCGAGCTCCTTCATGAAACACGCGTGCTCTCGGACACCGGGGATGTTGAACGTCTGGACCTCGGCGCCGACGGCGAAGACGAGGTAGTCGTAGGGTATCGTCGTGTTGGAGACCGCGCCCTGGATCTCTGAGGTATCTGCGAAGGTGACGGTCTTGTTGACGGGCTGTGGGGATTGCATTCAGCTCCTGGGTAGGTGTGTGTGCGTTTGGAGGCAACGTACGTCGACATCTGTCGCTGACGCTTCTATGACCGTGACCTGACGCTTTTTGTGGCGCGTCACATACCGTGTCGCTGCGAAGGTGTCACTATTTGACGGGATGATGCTTCAAAGCTATTGCGACTCACGCTGCAAGATAGAGCGAGGCGATATTGTACCAACTGCAACGCTAGGCAAGAGCGGCGTGAAGAGAAAGTAGTTCTTGGGGCTGATAACAATCTACGGTCATGTCGTCATAAACTTGTACTCCTGCACAGCCACTTGAGCCAGCTCAAACCACTCACCACGTTATAGTCCTCCGTTTCCAATGAATTCAGCAGACTCGTAGCGCCCCAGCCACTGCCACAGATAACCAACGTCTTCTTGGAAGGGTCATGAGGAAGCTGAGGACCGGGCGTCTTATCCTTCTGAGCGTAGTAGTAGAACGCGCCTCCGCCAGCCAGGGTCACGAGGGTAATGCTACCGGTCGCCTGAAGAAAGCGCTTCCATAGTGACGGCCTGAACACAGGAGGCGGCGGTGGGGGCTAGACGTGCGCGAGCGGGACGCGGGAATGTCAGAACAGAAGGAATTGGCGAGACGAATAACCAAATGGAGCGATTCGCTCAGTCCAGCGATGATGATCGCAGACGTGGCCCGACGCAGAGTATATAAGAAAGAGCGACTCACTGCAGATGCGCTCGCCTCCGCCCCTGTTCCCGTGGACCGCAGCCTGAGCCTGGCTGGCGGGATACGTGTGATCGCGGACGGCCGCGATGCGGCCAGGCTTCGGCCGAGAACGCGCACTATTCGCGGGGTCAGTGTTCCGTTTCTTTTCCTTATGCTAGTTTCGTAAAGGGCATACCACGAGTGGCTTGCATGGCCGTTTTGTAGAAGATGGGCAGAGCCCTCTGGGGGTCGACGAAGGTGAAGAAACGGGGTGCGCGGTGAGTGTGCGCTGAGGTGGGAGGCGATGATGAAAGTTGTTCGGACGGCGCGCTACGGTTACTTTGGCGCCAGCCAGATTTCGAGGCGACGCCGACTTCTGCCGGAATTTCGGCAGCAATAAACGGCCTTATCTCTTTACACTCATGACGTCGTCATTCCAATCTATCTATTCTTTGTGTTTTTATCTCATCCCAGGCGGGCGACGTACCAGATAATGTTGCAAATGCTGTCAACGTTGCCTTCCGTCTATGTATGCTGCTGATCTATTCGAGCGTAGTCATAACTTATGGCTATGATCACTCCGCGTGTCGGCGCTAAGACTTATCTAATCTACGATCTACCAGGAGTATGATTTCCGATCTACTCGGACCGGAGTCATTCACCACAGTTCTTTGCGCTCGCCGTGCTGTACAGAACAACATCCAACCTCCAACTGCAGTATGTCTCGCTCGATTGCTTCATATTCTCTCGCATTGAAGTCGACACTGAACAGAGACCCCATCGCAGCTATCAGGGACTTGACAGCTTCACGTACCGCCGCCGTCTTTTCCCCATTCTACACTCAGAGGCGGCGCTCCCGCATCTGCGACACCAGTGCGTATGGTCCGATCTGAACCGGCGGTATGCTCACCTCTCGAACGACAGAAATACCTCGCCAATAGGGCCCAACGGGAATCTCATCTCACCCCTTCACCACCAGTAAACCGAACCCAAAATGGCGTCCGTCGACGTCGACGTCCGCAAGGTCTCCATCCTCGGCAAGGAGTCCATCCACTGCGGCTTCCACCTCGTTCCATACATTGTCAAGATCGTAACCGCAACACTGCCATCGTCGACGTATGTCCTCATCACAGACACCCATGTCGGCAGCCTCCACCTCCCTGCCTTCCAGACAGAGTTCAGTCGCGCGCAAACGAACTCGAGGTTTCTCAGTTACGTGGTTTCGCCTGGGGAGACGAGCAAGAGCCGGGAGGGCAAGGCGGAGATCGAGGACTTCCTTCTGTTGAACAAATGCACGCGCGACACCGTCATCCTCGCGCTTGGAGGAGGCGTCATCGGAGACTTAGTGGGCTTCGTTGCAGCAACCTTGTGAGTCCATATAGGGAACGCGTCATTTGTTTGGTATCTCAGCTGTGATGCAGCATGCGAGGTGTGCGCTTCGTGCAAATCCCGACAACACTACTGGCGATGGTCGATTCGAGCGTCGGAGGAAAGACTGCGATCGACACTCCCCACGGCAAGAACCTCATCGGCGCGTTCTGGCAACCCGAGTACATCTTCATCGATGCCGCGTTCCTCGAGACTCTGCCTGCGCGCGAGTTCTCGAATGGCATGGCGGAGGTTATCAAGGTATGTGTCCACGCTCGTTCATTAACCCTGTCCGGACCTGCATGAGTTCCCATCTGCCTTACGGCAGGCATTCGCTGTCTCTCGACTGGAGAAAAGTCAATAAAGAGGGGAGGCAGGAGGCAAACGCTCCCCGTTGTTCATAGACTTTTATTCAGAATAACTACGTTTTCACGAGTAATTTCCTTTGTGCCTCCCCTTTTCGTCGAATTTCTCGGGTCGAAGACATCCCAGTGCTTGTCGTGCCCGCGTCTCGAAATAGCGAGAGCGGCGCAACTATCGGAACACTGGTACGATGTAACGCGGCCAGCGTGTCTCAGTTGCATTTATTGGACACTGTTACCGAGGAGACGCGGCAGAAGCCCGACTCTCCCTCCGCGGAGGAGATTAGTGGTACGGTCGACTCACCCTCCCTCTCACAGACCGCCGCGATATGGAACGAGAAAGAATTTGCAGCACTCGAGTCGCGCGCCGCAGAGATCTTCGCCGCGATCCAGACGCCCTCCACCAACTTCGCCGGCCGCACCGAGTCCACGCGCTCCGCTGCGCAGGAGCTGCTCCTCTCCGTCATCGCCGGGTCCATCGGCGTCAAGGCGCACATCGTCACCATTGACGAGCGTGAGACCGGGCTCCGCAACCTGGTGAACTTCGGGCACACCATCGGACACGCGATTGAGGCGGTCCTCACTCCCGCGATGCTGCATGGAGAGTGCGTCGCCGTGGGCATGGTCCTCGAGGCAGAGGTTGCACGTTCGCTCGGCATTCTGAGTCAAGTGGCGGTTGGACGCCTCACACGCGTGCTCAAGGCGTACAATCTCCCCGTCTCGCTCTCGGACCCGCGGATCGCGAGCCTCCCCGCCGCGCGCGGGCTGTCCGTAACGAAGCTGCTGGACATTATGCGGATTGACAAGAAGAACAGCGGCGTGCAGAAGAAGATCGTCCTCCTCTCGCGCATCGGCGCGACGTACGAGCAGAAGGCCACAGTAGTCGACGACGCGGTCATTGCCAAGACACTCTCGGACGCCGTGAAGATTGTCCCGGGCACACCGAGCAAGAGCCCGATCCGGATGGCGACTCCCGGCAGCAAGAGTATCTCCAACCGTGCGCTGCTGCTCGCCGCTCTGGGCAGCGGCACGTGCCGGCTTAGGAACCTCCTGCACTCGGACGACACGCAGGTGATGATGAACGCCCTCGTCGAGCTCAAGGGCGCCACATTCGATTGGGAGGATGGAGGCGAGACGCTCGTCGTCTCCGGAGGCGGCGGTGCGCTCTCGGTCCCCAAAGACAACAAGGAAATCTACCTCGGGAACGCAGGCACTGCTGCGCGCTTCCTCACAACAGTCTGCACGCTTGTTGGGGCGGCGAAAGCGGAGCAGCGGACGATCATCACAGGCAACGCGCGGATGAAGCAGCGTCCGATCGGCCCCCTCGTCGAGGCGCTCCGCGCGAATGGCAGCACGATCGACTACGTTGAGTCCCAAGGCTGCTTGCCGCTATCTATCGCACCTGCAGGGCTCAAGGGCTCGCACATTCGCCTGGCGGCGAGCGTATCGAGCCAATACGTGTCTTCGATCCTGCTCTGCGCACCCTATGCAGCGGAACCAGTCACGCTCGAGCTCACGGGGGGCCAGGTCATCTCGCAGCCGTACATCGACATGACTATCGCGATGATGAAGACGTTCGGCATCGCCGTCGAGCGGCTTAGAGACTCCGAGACAGGCAAGCCCCTCGACGTGTACCGTATCCCCAAGGGCACCTACACGAACCCCGCCGTATACAACATTGAGAGCGACGCGAGCAGCGCGACGTACCCGCTGGCGATTGCGGCGATCACCGGGACGACGTGCACGATCGAGAACATCGGATATGGGTCGCTGCAGGGCGACGCGCGGTTCGCGAAGGAGGTGCTCGAGCCGATGGGATGCGAGGTTGTGCAGACGGAGACGGAAACGACGGTGACGGGCCCGCCGGTGGGACAACTGAGAGCGATTGGGCTAGTGGATATGGAGCCGATGACGGACGCGTTCCTGACGGCGAGCGTGCTTGCTGCTGTTGCGACGAGGCCGCCTAAAGACGGGAGGGTGTTGAAGGACGGGAGCAAGCCGACTACGACACGAATCATAGGGATTGCGAACCAGAGAGTTAAGGAGTGCAACCGTATCAAGGCGATGATCGATGAACTCGGTACGTCCGTCCATCTGCATTGTGCTAGTCACTTACTGATTGTTGATATTTAGCCAAGTTTGGCGTGGAAACCAGCGAACTGGATGATGGCTTGGAGGTGTACGGCAAGCCCCTTGTTGAACTCAAGGAGGGGGCTAGTATCCACTGCTACGACGATCACCGTGTCGCGATGGCGTTCAGTGTTTTGGGCAGTGTGGTCAAGGATACCATCATCGAGGAAAAGCGCTGTGTCGAGAAAACTTGGCCCAACTGGTGGGATGACCTTCTCAACAAGGTCAGGCACCACTCATAATGAAGCCATCATGGTTTGCTCACACTCACACTCGTTTCCCAGATCGGTCTCGATGTCGAAGGTGTTGAGCTCTCCTCTGTGCAGGGGCTCGCATCTGCTAGTCGTCCTGTAGAGGATAGCTCCCGGGCGTCGGTTATCTTGATTGGTATGCGTGGATCGGGCAAGACGTTCATTGGTGAACTTGCAGCGAACGCCCTCGGCTGGCAATTCATCGATGCCGACGTCGTCTTCGAGAAGAAGCATCCCATAGGCGTGCGCCAGTTCGTTCAGCAGAACGGTTGGCCTGCGTTCCGCGAGGAAGAGACGGCCATCCTGCAGGAGCTCCTCGCGCAGCATGGAGAAGGTCATGTGATCAGCCTTGGTGGAGGCATCGTCGAGACTCCCGCCGCCCGTGACTTGCTCAAGGCATACACCAAGAAGGGTCCTGTCGTTCACATCGTGCGCGAGATCGACGAAGTCATTACCTATCTTGGGGAGGAGACTGCACGCCCTGCGTACGGCGAGCCGGTCATTGACGTCTTCAAGCGTCGTGAGCCGTGGTTCGCCGAATGCTGCAGCCATGAGTTCGTCAACTACACCGGAGTGCTCAACTCTATCGAGGCGTCGGTGGAGGACGACTCGAAGTTGGCGCCTTCCGTCCTCAGCGTCCGCGACGAAGTCTTTCGTTTCTTCCAGCACATCACCGGATTGCAGCCCAACCTCGCACCGAATCTCACGAATGGGCGCAGGTCATACTTCCTATGTCTCACGTACCCCGATGTCACCCTCGCCCTACCTCACATCGAGAAGATGACCGCAGGTGTTGACGCGGTGGAGGTGCGCGTGGACCTGCTTCGTTCGTCTGAGGACTATGACAAGCTCGGTCCCTACATACCTCCAACCGCCTACGTCACAGAGCAAATTGCTGCGCTTAGGCATATGACAACTCTCCCCCTCATTTTCACGGTCCGAACGGCTTCTCAAGGCGGACAGTTCCCAGACCATGCCGAGAAGGAGGCGTTCGAGCTTTTCGTCACCGCCATCCGTCTGGGTGTAGAGTACATCGACGTTGAGATCTCGTGGTCGGAGAAGAACATTCGTAACCTCATTGCTGGCAAAGGTCACTCGCAGATCATAGCCTCGTGGCACGACTGGAGTGGGAACATGCGCTGGGACAGCAAGGCACTCGATGAGAAGTACGGCGTTGCGCGAGAGTACGGGGACATCGTCAAGATCGTCGGCAAGGCCAACCGCCTAGAGGACAATTTCGCTCTTCACAACTTCGTTTTACGCCAGCGGGCTACTTCCGATGCTAAACCTATCATCGCAATCAACATGGGCGTAGAGGGCCAGATGTCGCGCATCCTGAACTCAACTTTCAGCCCTGTCACCCATAACCTCTTGCCAACCAAGGCTGCTCCTGGCCAGCTGACGTTTGCCCAAATCCAGACGGCACTTCATCTACTGGGACAGCTCCCTGCGAAGAAGTTCTATCTCTTTGGCACCCCCATCGCGCACTCCATGTCGCCTACACTACACAACACCGCATTCGAGGTGCTCGGTCTCCCTCACAAGTACGAGCTATTCGAGACAGAGACCGTTGGTGACGAGATCAGGGCCGCCATCGCAGCACCTAACTTTGGCGGGGCATCTGTCACCATCCCTTTCAAGCGCGATATAATACCTCTCCTCGATCGGCTCTCTCCTGATGCTGAGGCGATCGGTGCCGTGAACACTGTCATCCCTGTACTTACGGCCGACGGCGCGGTTCAACTTGTTGGCGAGAACACGGACTGGCGCGGAATCACTCACAGCATCCGTCGTTCGCTTCCTCCAAGCGTCCTTAAGCCCGAGGCAGCGTTGATCATCGGCGCTGGGGGTACGTCTCGCGCGGCCATCTACGCTCTGTGGAAATTGGGCATAGAAACCATTTACCTCTTCAACCGCACTGCGAGCAGCGCGCATGCCCTGGTCAACGCCTTCCCAGATGTAAATATCAAGTTCATTGCTGCGCTCGGTGCCTGGCCGGATAACGGGCCTGCGCCGACAGTCATCGTTTCGACCGTCCCAGCCTCCGCCACATCGCTCGATTCCTCGAATAGCGATGCTATCCTCCTTACCAAGTCACTATTCTCAGCGCCTACCGGAGGCGTTGTCATCGACATGGCTTACAAGCCTGCGGAGACGCCGTTGCTCGTGCTGGCCAGGAATACGGGTGCCCAGTGGCGGAGAGTGAAGGGTGTTGAGGTACTGCTTGAACAGGGCTACCACCAATTCCACCTATGGACTGGACGCCAAGCTCCGAAGACCGTTGTCGCGGAGCGTGTGTGGACGGCTTACTCTTCTTGCTGATCATGCAGGGCCAGCGACAGCCCCATCTCGACATATTTAGCTACGATCTTGAGTAAAGAGCCGAACTGTGTTGTATACAAAATCAAATGTGTTGACGATCATCTGATTGGTTAGATGGCCGGGCTGTTCCCAATTATCGGACGAGAACATGGTGCTGGAAGTGGTAATCGAAGCGCCCAAAGGCCGCGCGACAGCGAAGCCTGCAAGCTGGAGACGAACTTGTTCTAACTGTTCACACTCAATGAGACACATGACTCTGCCTAAAAACTCAACATTTCACGAGTGAAAGAGACAATGAGCTACCATCGGGACTGGATGTGGCACTGTGGGTCCTGACATACCCAATCCGGGTAACGGCTCATGCGAGCTTCCGTTGTACACGGTACTGCCACTGTTCCTGGACCCCGAGTCAGATGATACTGTTGATGAATATGTACTTGCCTACTACAGTGATCGGTCTCGCTGAGAGGACACTGCACCAATCTGCAGATGCTCTCACAGACCAAGCCGGCGCAGTACGCTCACATATGCCCCGCAGACCGGGGCCCATCGACCGGCGACTGAGAGGCATAGCCAACCAGGGCAAAGCAATTATCGTGGCCCATAGAGTTTGAACATCCCGCTCATATCTGGAGACAAATGTGTATGTTAGCGGGTGCTCTGCTGACGTACCACCTGGTAGCGGTGCGATCGTAAATAAGCGCTGTGATATTCGACGAACTTTCGTTCCTACTATGGGTCCTAGTGCTTCTGCGTTACAATATCCCGCAGTCTTGAGGCCACTCTCTGACACTCCCTGGATGGATAATAGCTCAGAGGGAATAAATCGAGCCAACATCAGAGCACCAACGACGCCGATGACTCGAACTTCGGAGCAGGTGGGATGCTTCTATTCAGGATGTTTTACCTATGCCGCAAGCCGAAGCGCAATTCAGTATGAGATGGAGAATATCATGACCATGCACGAAATAGCTCATGACGTCTAACATTTTCCCCATCACAGGAACGCCCCGGCATGCTGGAGCCAAGTTCGCACACCTGTGGCGGGTCCCTATTCGGCAACACAAAAAACATGTAAAGTGGATCATCCCAATGCATCTCAACTGAAATATTTCCCGTTCAGAGAATGAGGAATTTCCTCACCACACACAGTCTCTCATACCAAGGCGCTTCCAGCCTGCCTCGACTTGTTGAGACGTGTCGAGAGCAGCTAACCCAACACAACGTCGTACCGCCGAAAAGAAGCGACATTCGCAGGGTTGTGCCAGTCGTGAAGACTCGTGAAGAAAGAGGACCACAAGTCGAACACAACTTGCAACGGTCCACCTCCGGGATTAAGCCTTCGGCCGACTGACTCCTCATGCACTAGTCGAAGGTGCCGCCTCATGGTAACAGACCACGCAGTCTGGCTTCGTGAGCCACTCTCGACAGTAGCCTGACGGCGACAGGAGGAGGAGGGGGACGGAGATATCCCCTCCCGACAAGCCCGTCCACACGCCAACGTGGCCTGCTGCCGAAAATAGCAATGTTGGAAGCAGAAGCAAGCCACTTACCTTATCGAACACGCATGGCCCTGTCAGCTGCTTGTTCTGCGAGCAGGTGCTGCAGGAACTGGAGGGAGACGGAGTGGCAGGTGGGCCGCAGTCAATGAGCACCGTCCCTTTTCCAAGACGCCGAATCTGCCATTCCGCACCAGAACTGCTCCAGAAAGAAGTTATCAAACAGAAGATTATAGACGACCCGACGGTGAACCTCGGCCAGTTCTTTTGTGGCTAAGAAAGAGCACATCACAGGAGATGTCATGAGCTAGGGCTGTCGCCCAAAGTGGTCGAGGAGTGCCTCGCACTTCTCGGTGCTATGCGGAGTTGAGGAGTGGGGTGTGCGTGTTGTCCGCATTAGGGGTATTCCGTCAACGTTATGGGGGAAATTATTATTCGTCCGGACGGAGAGCTGGCGTGTCTATGTCAGAAAGGGCGAGGGAGCTCGAGAAGGGGGACCCGGTCGACGGGACGGAGGAGAACGAGTTATCTCAATGTTGTTCGGACCGTAGAAGATCCATGAGGTTCACTGCTCCATGTGTGGAGAATTCTGTGACTCTATCGTTATCGCTCTCGGAATGGTAGAGAAACTGGAGCACAGCATGCGGGATGAACGTACAGAACTTACCCGCTATCCATTACCACTCAACTAACGGTGGCAGGACTAGCACTCCTAAGCCTGTCGGTCCCAACGATGGTGTACATAGTCCTCTTGTGATTGAATTAGAGGAATCACAAGGAACGAAATTGGAGAAGAGTCTTTGAACTGACCGTTTGACCAGATGTCGAGTTCTTACATCCGAGTAGCACAAATTGCGCAAGTATATGGCGTCTTCTCCGGTGCAGGTCGATCTCAGTAAGAAGACTGCGCGTCGCAACACCCTGAGGGCTCTCAAGTTGATCGAGAGCCAAGCGATGGCGGTGGTGTGATGAGGCCGATCCTTTGACAGCCGCGCACATGTGGTGTGGATGCAAGAGACTGTTGTCCGCCATCATACTAGGTGAACTGCCTTATCACCTCGGGAGGGGCCGAGATCGCTTGGCTGGATGTACGGGCAGATTCATGCGATGCCCGGCAGATACGAGCATCGGTAGTGGTTACCACCTGGTGTTACGGTGCTGCGAGTCCGGATTTAAACACCAGTCTGTCAGATACAATCTACCGTCTGGAAGCGACGGAATGATCGTCAATGTCATGTCGTTGTGGCACCTCAATACGCCTTCGAAGGCAATGCTGGCGCAACATGCGAGTAAGTGCCAGGTAGGGGTGGCGTATGGGCTTGAAAAGAATCAAGCGAGTGTGTCACCAAGATACATAACACTGTATTGCGGGCCCACAACTATGACCCTCGCAGAAGAATGCACTGCAAATAGAAGGTGTTTTGGGTATTGTATTGTCGGGGTTGATGGCATTGTCATACTCACGAAATTCGCGGAGGCTGCAACCCGCGCCAGATCTCAATACGACGCGTTCCATAGATGTGAACCTCGGATAGTGGGGATATTCTCGTACCGTTCCGATGTTTTATTCCTGGCCCTAATCAGTCCTGCACGGAACCACATCAGGAGGCAAAGTACATCCCGACGCCGTACCGCGTTATCTGATACAGAAAGAAGCAGGTGGCATCCTCGAGTGGTGACCTCGGCGAAAGTCTGAAACGTTCTGTAACGTTGTTCTATCTTGGCTGTCAGTGAAGCTTCCTCAGCGGCCCGCTGCGTAAAGCTGAGCGGGACGCCGTTACGGTGCTCATCGTCTATTCTCGTCGAATAGAAGCAGCCCTTCTCGTAACCGCTCCAGAAGAGTCGGTGTTATCGACCGAATGAGGGTGTTGACCACGTCGTGCTTGGCGTGCGCAGTCGTGCATGACTGCTTGCACGCAATGGAACTGCCGTCTCAAACTGTACCCTTGACAATTAGTGCACCATGAGAGTCAATCTCCGCGCGGTTCGGCAGGTCAGCATCGAGCGATGACCGAGATGCCCACGCAGTGTATGACGCTCTAAGCCCATTCTAAAACCACCCTGGTCCTGATCGTTGTTGGTAGCCGGGTTTGAGTCGAGGATGATACAGGCAGGAAGGGTACGAAGCGGCTGTCGAGGATGGTCGGTGCAAGGCGAGAGTGCTTAGTCGGTCAGTCGCCGCGGTTGTACGCCGGGCCTTCCCAATCAGGCTAGTGGTGACCGAGGAGACAGCCGCGGACCTTTCTCGCCAACGACCATCTCGCTCGACGGTCTCCTGACTGAACCAGGCTCTAGCACTCGGCGCATCTGTCCAGCTGGGCTTTACTCGAGGAACTTGAGGGGTTATAGTGCGTGGGTCGATGGCTGCGCTTACGTAGCAGCGGAAGGGACTCGATCTTCCGGCAACTCGTGGCGACTCCGATTGAGCCTCTCGTGCAGGGTCACCAGTACAACCGCACCAGGTCGACGAGTAGCCTCAACAGATATCATCATCATGACCTTCACCAATGTCATCTCCCTTCTGGATGAGACTCGACATTCAATCATCGAACATCTTGCCACTCTCGGCGCTGTGGGCCGCATCCTATTGGATGAGGTCAATTCGGCGGAATGATCACTTGCAGGAATCGAGTTCAGGACCCGGATAGAGGAGCCTGTATTTTCACGGCTATTCCTGCAGAAATTTCCGCTTCCAGCCGCAGCGCAGTCTCTTACGTGCTGAAGTCACGGATGAGGTGAGCTGTCGAATTCTGAATTCTTCCTCTCAGATTGTCACGGTCTCTTGGCGAGATCTCCGACTACCTGTCAAGCAGGATCATGTATGACGAGGATAGAATGGTGAAACCCGTCGGCTTCACGGCTATTCTGCCCTACCTCTTCTCTTCTATCCGTGACCAGACTGAGAAGGAGTAGGGCAGGTGGATTACGGGAAGTCATCTTATCAGATACACGGCAGCCCGCTCGAGCGAGGTGTTAGCGCCCAAAGATAAGACTGCAGCGCCATCATGATGTCGCCGAGCCCGTTACGAGGAGCTCGGAGCGAAACCATGCGACGTGTTGTTGCCGGCACCATGACCTCGTCGTATCTTCGCATTGTCCTATTTTTCGCGGCTCGCGCAATCTTGGGCGATATCGCGTTGTCGTCCGTCGTCCCGCCCTGACGCATGGTCTGGGCGCCCGCATCACACATTCAAACAACCGAAATTCCGATTATTTTTCGGGACGCTTCATTCAATATATGGCAGGGCGTCTCGGTCCTCGTACCGCAACCCTGGTTCGAAATTTTTCCTAGCGAGGCTGTCATCGTGAATGTCAAAGCATGACGAATACGGCCGTCAAGGACGATACGCTGCCATCAGCATAAGATAGGGTACGCCCGCAGCGGCTGTCTTTGTGGAGAATTCATTCATGTTAGTCATGTTAATCTCGCACATTGGGCGGGTTCAGAATCAGAGGTCGAGGACTCGGTGAGCCCATATGGGTTTTCGGGAAAGCACATGCGATCGCGAAATGTCTCAGCATGCGGCTGATCAAGACGCACTCCCGTGGCGTCATTGAGGAATTCGCACATCGCCCCGAGGACCCAGATCCATCCCGATGAGATCAAAGCCAGATTGTGCACTGTCCACGTTGGCGCTCTGCTTCTGAAGCGGGGGTTGTACGTCCAACCCATGTGGATCTGCTATCCTCCCAGCGTGGCGGTTCGTCGCTTCCTGCAGAAGATCGAAGTGTTTCTGCCTCAACCTTTGTAGCCATAGAAAGTGTTCCGTTCTCATCACTACCCCGTCTGCCCGATCTGCGATGAGGTGAGTGGTACTTATATTCGGGTGACGGGTAGTGAACGGCCTTCCAGGAATCCCTCACTGGCAATCCGCCTGCCTTCACTCCGGCACCAGCCCCAAAGATGAGCATCAAAGCGTCTCCCAGCTTGAATGCTTCTGCTCCTGCCGCTGTGTCTCACCCTGGCCCTGCTGGTTCAGCTGCTCCCGGCGGACCTGGTGGGCCTATGGTTCATGCCCCTAACCCCGACAGAGCGTTGCGCATCGCGCGAAACCATGCGTACGCCCACCAGATCTGGTGGCTCATTGCGAGCTTCATTGCGCTCATCATCATTTTCCAATTTCTGTCCTGGGCCGTGTCGAAGTGTTACTCGAGGAATACCCCCAAGGGGAAGAAGCCCGCCGACGCGGAAGCAGGCGCCTCTCCCATCCCCTCTCCTCGCCGGTTCTCACTACGCAACATCCCTACGGCGATAATCAACCTTTACCGTGTTGTTGCTTTCCGCTGGACGCTCGAAATTGGCCAGTCTTACACGCTCAACTTCGCGGAGGTGTTCATTACTGTTGCCTACATCGTCGCCCTCTTCACTTGGGAGTTCGTCAACAGTGAGCAGCTCGATCTTGGTGCCATCATGCCTCCGCGTGCTCATCGCATCTCAGCGACCGATACGCAAGGACAGAAGCTCGATATCAGCTACTGGGGCAGCCGCGCTGGTTCGCTGGCAGTAATCCAAACCCCCCTCATCACCGCGTTAGGAACAAAGAACAACGTCATTTCTTGTGAGTCGAAACATGATGTTCACATTGACGGGTGCAATGTCTGACAATCACACAACAGACATCACTGGCATCAGCTATGATAAGGTAGATTCCAGATTCCGACATTTGCCTGCAGCTACTCATCGTCAATGCCCGTTGGTAGCTCAACTACATTCATCGTATGACGGCTCGGGTCGTTTTTGTGCTACTCTGGGTACACGGAGGAGCCAAGGTAACGGCTATTTTGAACGCGTCCGTCTCTCAAGCCAAGCTGACATAACGTGGCTTGCAGCTTTCCCATTCCGTCCCTGAAGAATTTGATGAATGGTTCATCCGCATTGGTCTCACCGCCATCATCGCTTTCAGTATCCTTATTCTTGTCTCCCTCCGTCCAATTCGGGCGGAAGCCTACGAGGTGTTCTACTTCACACACTTCTTCATGGTGCTGTACGTGTAGATCTCTCGATGGACAGCCTCACACACTGACCAGCCATTCCGCTCCCAGGATCTTCCTTCTCGGCGGTTATTTCCACGCAAAGAAGGTTGACTTTGCCACCTATGTGTGGCCATCGTTCCTCATATGGGCTCTCGACCGCTTCATCCGGGTCGCTCGCGTCGTCTATTACAACCACCTCTACTTCGGCTTCAGCTCAAAGTCGGACCGCCTCGATGCCTCGGTCGAGCTTCTGTCGCCGCACTTCGTCCGCCTGCACATCAGCCGCCCGCCGCACTTCAATTGGACGCCCGGTCAGACTGCGTTCCTAGTTATGCCTACCGTCTCCGGAAACCCACTCGAGGCCCATCCGTTCACCATTGCCTCGGTTGACTCCCACTATCAACTGACGACGGCTGAAAAGCCCGATCTCGAGAAGAAGGCATCCTCCGATGCCGTAGACATCGCGCCGTACTGGAAGGAGCTCGTATTTCTGATCAACGTTCGGGAGGGCTTCACTAAGCGCCTCGCCGCCATCGCGCAGAAGGGTGAGAAGGTCAAGGTGCTCATCGACGGCCCGTACGGCTTCTCGCCGAACTTGGACAATGACGATATCGTCGTTTTCGTCGCCGGTGGCTCTGGCGTAACCTTCACGCTGTCGACCTTCCTTGGTGTTCTGAGCCACGTGCAGAACAAGAAGAGCAAGTGCCGCCGCATCGTCTGGGTTTGGACTATCCGCGAAGCCGGTATGTTCATCTGCTCTTCGAGCCGCCGTTAAAGATGTTGACCGTTTTTGCTCAGACCACATCGAGTGGGTGTCGAAGGCCCTCAGTAAAGCGCTTGAGCTCGCACCCAGCGACCTGGAGATCTCCATCCGCATCTATGTCACTGGTCGAAGCGCATCCAATGAGACTGTGCTCCGCCAGGTCAAGTCATGGAACGAAGACGACTCTATTCACTCTTCCGAGGGTACCACGGTCGGCAAGAGCCGTCCGCCTTCCCTCCTCAACTTCCCGGCTGTTCAGGTCAATCAAGGCCGCCCAGACATCCCAGCATTGTTGCACGACGAAGTTGACGCTACTACAGGCCGCATCTCTGTGACAGGTACGTCTCCACACGAACGTGCTGATATTCTTCGTTCATATTCGCTGACAACGTCTTCCTAGTATGTGGATCTCAGGGCATCGCGCGTGCGTGCCGTAAGGCCTTGCGTGTCCCGATCTCGACCGGCCTGAACGGCGGTCCGAGTGTTGTACTCCACGTTGAGTCGTTCGGATACGCGTAGTACCGTTACGACTTGTATGGACCCTTCTCCTAGACGATTTTCATAGATGATTTACGTGTTCTGCATGTATCACTAGTAGCTTCATATCCCACGTTACACGCACAATTTACGGCCTGTCGGAAGGCAGGAGAAAGAGCAGCGGATGAGATTCGCGTTTGGTTCGAGTTCAAATGGGGGCCCAGACAGTATATACAACGACCATCATGAACTGGAACCAAACTGCTTTGATCTAGCTAATCAGGTGCACGAGTATCCGCCGGGAGGCTGGCGTGCCTGTGGCGGAGCGCCGGAGGGAAAGCTTCTGAGGGCGGCGCTGCGGTTGAACGTGGTGCTCATTCTATTCGCTCGCTCGCCAGCTGATGCCGGAAAATTTGAACACGGCCGTTATCATCAGTCTATCTGAATAATGGTAACATACTCTCTACATAAAGAAAACCTTTGAGCATGTCTGTGCTGACGAACTTCACGTTGGGCAGGCTCAGTGTGTAGACGGGATCGCAATGTTCCGACGGAGGGACGATCGTGTAACCGGAGAATCGGGACACCTCGTCCTACGACACGTCGGCACCATCGTCATGGTCATATTAAAAACTGGTTGATCTCGTCTTGGTAGGTAATCCTTTACACAAAACATTCTCAGGCTTGCGGCCCGAGAGGCGAACTTGAAGGGGCACCACCAAAAGGGAGTCATCTAACGTTGTTGGTACCCATGACGCCAACAGTGGTCCATCGTCAGCGCAATCTCCAAGTGCGGAACATCCACGCCATGGCGTATGCGGCGGAGGTGTCAACGACTTATAGAAAGGTTTCGTAACGCTTCGGAAAGAGTGGACACACGTCACTACGCCATTTCGCAAGCATGGCACTGGCACTCAAGTGGTCTCACTTGCACCGCGACTATGCATCTCCTTCAATGCATCATCTAATAAGAGGTAGCTGCGTTTCAAAGTGTCGATTCGATTCGAATAATCTTTGACCTATAGCACGAGGCTCACCACGTCTTCGCCACGTTTCGCTTCCGGACCCACAGCAATGACGTTTGGGAGTCTGGACGTTGTTCAGGGAAGTACGGGTTCGTGGCTTCCAAGCTGATTTGTCACCTAGCTGGTAACCGACATGCGGTGGAATTGAATTGCCTCCCGAGGATCGTCAAGGCTAAGGTTGCACGTGGGCGTTTCCAGCATATAGTCATGCTCCTGCAATTTCTGGCACTAAGTTCTATCCAGGCAATCAGATACACTTCCTGCTCAAGGATTAGTGCTTGATTGGTATAGTACTAGCCGCAGGGCACATTTATGCTCCTAGGATGCTGGACGCAGTACCCGAAATGAAAGAAATTAAGTATGTAACCCCACGTTGACCTCTGCTCTCATGACACTCACCGTTTGTTCGTGGGAGATGTACTGTCGTCATCTGCCGTCTCAAAAGAGCTCACGATGACCGTCTGCTGGCCGCTCCAATTGTCGTACGAGTGTCTCGAGCCACGCCCTTTATCCGAAGTACATTTCCAGTGAGTATATATACTCGAAGACAACGGTCTGCTGCCTCTCCAGCGGCCGTCGACATTGCTCGCCATGCGAATTCCTGCCCTGTTGTTGATCGTCTCTTTGTTTGCATGCCTCTTCCGCTCAAGAGTGCGTGGAGAACAGTACCCCCTCTCCAGCCCTGAACCCACCGTTCAACTCGATAATGGGTCGGTCATTGGTCTCACCGATGACGATGGCCGGACCAACTCGTTCCGCGGCTTGAGGTATGCTAAGCCTCCGTGAGTGTGCTGTCATTTGAACGTCTGTTGCCCCACCACTCACTTTGGCCGTCACTACATTACTAGGGTCGCTGAATGGCGCTTCCAGAAGCCTCAAGCCATCGATAAATATACTGGAGTCACGGACGCAACGTCATTCGGAAACACCTGCTATAACGTCACTGATGGTGTTGCGGATCCCACTAAAATGCCGTCTTGGGTTACGCAGGAGATGAAGGATTTCCTGCAGGTCTTCAACCATCTTGCTCCAGGAATGACGTTCAGCGAGGACTGTGCGACCGTCTCCAGATTCTGACTGACCATCCCAAGCTGATGTGCCTGCAGGTCTGAATCTTGACGTGATTGTTCCCGCCACAGGTGTATCCCCAGGTCACAAACTTCCTGTAGTCGTGGTTAGTGACTTCGCAGAATCGTATTGGTTGGTTTACTGACCTGACGACTCGCAGTATATCCCGTTCTGTAAGCAGTCGTTCAGTTACAAGGAAGAGTGGACGTGGCTCACATGCCTATAGCTGCATTCATGTTCAGCGGCAGCACTGGGTCAGTATAGTATGTTCCTCTGATCGTGCGGCAGCGTCCGTTCAATTCGTTGTTAGTGTCGACGGAAGGAAAATGGTGAAACGGTCCATAGAACTGGGAGAGCCCATAATATTTGTTGCACTCAATCACCGGTTAGTCGATACGTCTGCGTCTTGAGTATGCTGACTGATCGTTTGATTTCAGCATGGGACGTAAGTGAATGTCATTACGACTGCACTAGTCATTCCTGAGACATAGTATCAAGCATTCGGCTTCCTCCCTGGACAAGAAGCGTTGGACAATAAGATCGGCAATTTGGGTCTCTATGATCGTCAGTAACAATAGAGCATAAGCGAGGTTCACTAACCCATAGTCGTATGCTATTACAGAACGCCAGGCACTTCGCTGGATCCACTCGTACATACCGCAATTTGGTGGCGATGAAGGCCGTGTGACCTTGTACGCTCGTCATATCCATCTCGTGAAGTCTCAGGTTCTGATATGGCACGACTCGTTCTTCAGACTCGGCCTGAGTGCGGGAGGCGTGTCCGCCGCATCGCACATGATCGCGAACAACGGCGACAGCGAGCAGCTCTACCACGGTGTCTGGGCCGAGTCCGGCGCCATCCAGCCGGTGGGCTGGATGAATGAGAGCTCAGCCCAGAGCACCTACTCCAACTTTGTGAAGGCCGTGTGCGGCGATGACGTCGATGTCAATCATGCCCTTCCATGCCTCAGGAACGCGTCGGTTGAAGCGATCAGAGAGGCAGCGAAGCAAGGGGCGTGGCAGCCTTTGGTGGATGGGGAATTCCTCAAAGATTATCCCCAGCACTTGCATTCTAGCGGCGCTGTGGCTCCTGTCCCTATTGTGGCCGGTGAGTACCAACGTAGTACTTTGATGCTTACATGGCTTAGCCCCACCATTCTCAGGGAATGCCAACGAGGAGGGGGCGCTGTTCGCTGCTGATTTCATTGCCCTACCCGGTCCATGGAATTACTCGTGAGTCATACACTCTTGCCTATATAATACGACATGCCTTATATCAACGTTCTTCCCCCACCGCATAGTACCGCTGAAGGCGTCAAAAACATCATCAAGCTGGTCTACTATCCCGATATCAGCGACAGCGACCTGAATATACTCGTACATGAGCGGTATCCTGACGACCCAGAACTTGGAGTTCCGTATGGCACAGGCGACAATTATCAACATGTGAAGGGTTGGAAGCGGTTGGCATCCTTGCTTGGAGATATCGCCACCGATGCTGTTCGGCGGAAGTTTGTTCAGACCCATAGCATGCACGGATACAACGACACCTGGTCTTATAGCAAGTGCTCATATATAGTACCTCTTCCTTCCTTTACTGAACGTTCGTTTGCAGTCTACCGACGACACAATATCACCGGCTTTGGATGCGTGAGTGTTGTCATAGAGGCCCTTACCAGGATTCTGTACTACCAACTCGCTGACCGTATGCCTACAGACACACGGCTCAGAGATCGACAACATGTATGAGGGCGGAGATATGGCAGACCGCCTGATTTGGTTCGCCAACAACTTCAATCCCAACCGCGATACGGCAATTGTAGAGTGGCCCAAGTACCAGTACGTGAGGCCCAACCCAAGCGAACCCAATCCTCCAGAGCCGACGCTACTCGAGTTTTCTGCCTCCAATACCCTCCGGCTCATTCCCGATACGTACCGAGAACATGCGTTAGAACTGGTGATGAGGTTGAATTCAGAGCACCCCTGGCCAGTCTAAGCTAGTCATCACGTTCGCCGGGTATATTGTAGAGGAGAAATGTGGCACGTTGTCGCTGTCGTTCCACGGTACTAGACTGTGACACATCCTGTGTCCCACCATATTTGTGGAAGCGCACAGTGCAAACAGCTTTATCAGACTCAATGATCCGTTGAACATGTCAATCTCCTCAGCTTATTCAAGGCTCCACATGATGTGCGATGAGGACGGGAACTGCATCGGTAGATGGATTTCGCGTTATAATCTCAGCAATTAGAGGCGCAATATCTACAAGACACGGGCCAATTAATACATTCATCGAGATGTCTCACTCCCGAGAAACAAAGGGAACTTAAAGACGCAGAATGTCAGTACGCCTTGCAAGGGGTTGAGCGGCGGGGGCCCCAACGGTGAATTGGTGAAGGATTGGATTTGCACTGATTTCGCAGATGTAGTCGGTCTGGTTTGGTTCGCAACCCTGAACACTGCATTCCCCTAGCGTTGTTGGTGAGTGTTCACTATTCCAGCGTTGTAGCGGGGAGCTGATAGGCCTGTCGAAGTTGACTATGTTCACCAATGCATCCACCCTGAACACTAGCTGCGACCTCCAGTCTAACCACGGTCCTCATCTGAGCTCTCTTCACTCCACGCCACGCATAGCCGACGAAGATGTCACCTTTCTTGAACGAATCAATCCTGCAAGTGTCCAGGCTTGGTGCCTGTCTAGAATAAATGAGTATCAGGTGCATAATCGCTTGGTTCTCATCAATCGCTCTCTACCCCCTGAGCTCCTCATGGGCATCTTTGCGCTTGTTCGACCAGAACTTGGCGAAGAACCGACATGCCCTTCCATTCTACTCGTCTGCCGGTATTGGCGGGAGCTGGTCCTACAAATCCCTCAGTTTTGGGCTAATCTAATCGCTCGCCGTACGAACCTACACGAGGCGACACACTCGAGGCGTGCAGCTATCCGCTCTGCGCTCGCACACACCAGGGAGCTGGCGCTCACGGTCTTCTGGGTTGGTCTCGAAGGGCGCGCGATGAAATTCTTCTCTCTCTATCTTCACAACGTCGTCTCTATCACGGTCTACGTCGATTTCTCCGATGTCACTCTTCTCAATCAGCTGCTCACCGACGAAAGGCTGTCAAGGCTTGCAGGCCTTTCTATAAATCTCATTCCCAACTCAACTTGGTCCATAGATAGGCAAGAGCCACCCACAGGATGGATTCCAGCTCTGCGAAGCGTCACACTCTCCCGTCTCAACACACTCAAAATCCCCCGGATTCACCTCAACGTGGAGGCAGAGTCGCCGTCCCTCCGGCACCTTTGCCTGACGACATGCGCATGCCATTTCCGAATCCAAGACTCCACTCGTCTCCTCGATGCGCTCGCACAATTCCCCAATCTCGCAACCCTCAGTTTACTCCACGCCCTACCTTCATGCGCTCACGCTAGTTTGTCGGATCCTCCCAGGCAGGTCGTGAAGCTACCTCGACTCGATATGCTGACCATAAAAGACGGCCCATGGGATGCATATGGTCTGCTCCGATGTCTCGAATATCCTTCACAGGCGTCTCTCTGCTCATCGTTCGAGACATCGGACGGCGGCTGTTGCAAGGGAACCTTTCCCTTTATCCATCGTCCCTTCGTACCCGTACATGAGATGGACACAAATTACGACGTGATCATCGATGATACCACAACGCTTCTCCGCGTGCAAGCATCCACTCATGGCCAGGCTCGGGTACGCGTCGATGTCCCCCAGCTCTCCGACTCCGGATGGAAGCGGTGCACAGACGTACTACCGCTGTTCGCGTTTGAAACCGTCACTACTCTGACACTCCAAGGGGACGACATATATGGGCATGTAGAACACTTGGATGCCATCCTGAAAACGTTTCCTCAGCTCCTGCATCTCTCGGACCAATCACTGGACGGCCGTTGTGGCCTATTGCATTTTCTTAGCAGGCGGATAGATCGGCACAAACGGGCCGTGCCCGTGCGGTGCCCCCGACTGGAGAGCCTTTCTTTCGTGATCGAACCCTATGCTCCCTGGAACTACAGAACCGACGCGGTAACGGGCTCCTGGGGCGACCCTCAGCAATATCCGTGGTCGATTCTTCCGGGTGACGACCCGTCCATAGGAGAGGACAGACATGCGAATCCGTCCAATCGTTACCGTGCCGTAGCAATCAAGTTGCTCGGCCGGATGATGGCGTGGGTCTGCGAGGAGCGAGCGCCTGATTGTGCGCCATTGAAGACCATTGGCGTCCATTCAGACTTCCTAGACCAGGATGGGTCATTACTGGTGCGTCTGCGGAAGAAATTCGAAGGGCTGGAATGCACCGTCAGCGTCTATCCTGCTAAGGACTTCCGATGGAGTAGAAACTAATTCTGGGCGTTTTGTCCGCTCTGATGACAGTCTTGGTACACGCACCAGTTTGCCACTTGAATACAAAAGTCCTTCGAACTCGATCATAACGTAACCCTATACATAGCATGATCGATCGCGAATACTCAAAACATGAGAACTGGTATTGCTAGAGGGATAGATACAGATCGGCACGGAACAAGGGGAACTAGGAGATACACAGCGCGGAAACATTAGCACACGACAGACAGAAACCAGACCCACCCCAGCACACACACACAGAGAACGAGCGACCAGAGACACCACAGCGCATCCCCCAGCAGACGAGCCACAAAGCCGCGCCAGGGCTCGGCCGCTTCCCCGCCCATCCCCCAACCCCCTGTGGAGCTATGGCGAGAGCGCGCTCGCCCCGCCAGCGGGCGTCCCGAGGTGGTAGAACCCGTTCGCCTGGTGGTCCAACGAGCCGAGGTCCGGCGACGCGAGGAGCGCGCTGATGTCCAGCTGGCCCGCGTCCGCGTTCAGGAACGCCATGATGTCCGCCGTCGACATCCCGCCCGCGCCCATGTCCGTCTGCATCAGGCTCCCCGCGTCCATGAACGGCGCCGACGCCATTCCGAACGGGCCTTGCGGCTGCGAAGGCGGCTGCGGCGGCACGCCGAACGCGGGCTGGGCGGCCGATGGGGGCTGAGGGCTGCCGAGGTGGTCGAGGAACGCGTCCGTGGGCTGGAAGTCCTCCGGGCTGCCGTGGTTGAGCGGGGAGTCGCCCGAACCCGCGGGCGAGCGCGCGTTCGACGACGCCTTTTTGCGCACCGGGCGGACCCACGGCGGGCGGCTGCTCGGTGGGGTAGACCCTGGGTCTGGCTGACGGGGAGCCGTCTCCAGAGGGATTTGCGTAACTATCGAGGCGGCAGACGTGTCAGTCCGGCACCAGGAAGACGACACAGAACGACAGCGGGCGGACGCACTTCTGCAGAACTCTTCCATGAGGTCACCTGACCGCTGCCCGCATATGTACCGGCCGCTGAAACGCCGCAGGAGTCCCACGCAGGACCGCAGGGCGTCCAGCGCGGGCGGGATGAGCGGCCGCAGCGAGTCGGAATGGCAGTTGAGCAGCATCGCGACGAGCGTGCGGCCTGCCGCGGTGAGCTGGTGGATCACATGCACCCCATCTGCGGACGCACAAAAAGCAACGAGCCGCGTCAGCCCCCGAAGAACACGACGCAGGACACGCCCGCACCGGAGAGCACGACTCACAGTAGGTCATCAGCCCCTTGGCCGCGATATGCAGGTGCGACGAGATGATCTGCAGCGCGCACGCGTGCGCCGCGCGCATCGCCTCGATCTCCGCCTCGTCCTGCTCCGCGTCCGGCACGTGGTTGTGCAGCCGCTCCGCGACCATCTCCGAGAAGCGGTGCCGGTGGATGAGCATGCGCACGTACTGCTCGACGCAGTGGATGCGCTCCGCCTGCGTCACGCGGAGCACGTCCCCGCTCGTCATCGTCTCGACCGAGTGCGCCCAGTGCGCGGGCAGCGCACGGCAGATCTCGTCCAGCAGCGCCTCCTCCTCCCGCAGCTCGAGCTTGCCCCGCCGGGGCCCGCTGCTCCCCGTCAGGACGGCCGCCGCGCGCGCGAGGAACGGCGAGCCGCCCTCCCCAGGGCTGGGGCGCGAGGGCGGGATGTCGAGGATGGCCTCGAGGACGACGAAGAGGCGCACGCAGCTCACGAACGCGCCCATCCGGCTCTCCGTCTCCTGCGGCTGGACGCCGACGCCCTCGCGCGTGATGAACTCGTCGTCGACGATCGCGGGCTCGCCCACGTCGCAGTCGCGCAGGCGCAGCAGCGGGGGCCGCCCGAAGTGCGCGGACGCCTGCTTGTCCCAGAGGTAGACGCACCAGAAGGTGCGCTTCCGGACCTCGTCCTCGACGGGGTCGAAGAGGTCGTAGTCGTCCGCGGAGCGGTGCAGGCCCGCGTCGAAGGAGAGCGTGATCGCCTCGGAGAGGAGCGCGAACGCTTTTGAGAGCCGCCCGAGGCCGACGGCGTACACGCCCGCGATGAGCACGGACTGGATCGTGTACATCGTGGGCTTGTCCGCGCCCGGGAGGAGGCGGAGGCGCGTGAGGAGGTCGAACCACTGCGTGCCTGCGCTGTTGCTGTCGTTCGGGTCCGCGCGCACGCGCAGGTCGTCGGTGTGCCGCGAGGAGAGGCAGCAGATCGCGACGATGAACGCGGCAAAGCCAGGCTCGCCCCATTTTCGGGGGTTGCCATAGTCCTGCGCACATTACGTCAGGTGGGTGCCACGGGGATAAGCACCAAAGACCGAAGGAAACCGAGACTCACGGCGAGGAAGCTCGGAACGTGGAGGAAGGGCATCAGGTAGTATGACGTCGAGAGGTAGCACTGCACGAGGCTACGACGCGCCCACCGCAAGTGAGCCTGGCTTGCCAAGGAGAAAGGCAACGGGGGATCCTCACCTGTCCATGAGTTCGGGGACGATGAACGAGGTGATCAGCTTCCAGATGTGCTCCGGGTTCGCTTCTGTACGCCGCGGCTGCCGGTCAGGGAACCAGGTGGACGGCTGCCCGTTCAGTCCTTTACAGCTTGGCTGGCCGATCGGCCGCTCCGGGTCAGGTTTCACGACAGCGTGTCGCTCAACAAGGAGGTCGAGGATGGGAAGCCCCGACGTCTCCCCTTGCCATCGCGTGTAGCCCTCGTCGTCAAAGTACATGTAGGACGAAGCGAGGGACATGCGCGACGTCTCCTCCCCAAACTGATCCACGCCGCCGCTCGACGACCCCATCCTGAAGCCCGAGCCCGGGCTCGCATTGCGCGAGCCGGGCTTGACGGGCCCGAAGAACGTCGACGGGTTGATCAGCGGGTACGCCGTCAGCGAAGGTGGGGGGACAGCCGTGGGGAAGATGTGCGTCGACGACGCGAACGACGCGTGCGGACTTGTACTTGGATCGACGGGCGACTGCGGTAGGCCAGCGCCGAGCGCACCGGCCCCCGCGAACACTTGCGGAGGGATGGCTTGGATCAGCGTCTCGAGCTGCTGCATGCGGTCTTCGAGCGTTGCTGCCCGCCTGTTGTTAGAAAGGGAACGTCAGCGCGCCCTCCTCTCAAAAGCCTCGCATCCAAGTATGTGAGGTCGCCCGTAGCTACAAGGTGGGGGGGGGGATCGACTATAAGTACGCATGAAACAAGCTACGTCCAGGATTAGATCTGCTCCATCCCATCCTTCAGGCTCAGGCACAGCATTGTGCTGAGAAACGCCAGATTTCGGTTATATGCTTAGCGGGAAGCCGATTCTGCTCGTCGCGTGGAAACATCGGCCCACAGACTACAGGTGGCGGACATAAAACGGAGCCGAAGATCCCTCGAAAGTATGAATGTATGGAGAGGGCTGGCCTAGGGGGACGACAGGAGACAACAAACGCGACCGCGAAAGGGTCGTTGCAGTCACTTGACAGTCATGACCCGGATATGTAAGACCACGCTTCGGATGCAACGGCCCCGGGCTCGCAAGCCCAAGAGACGAGGATACGGATGCACACAACAGGAACACGCAAAGCCGAGGGAGCGTACGGAGGGAAGAGACGGCGAATGCGTACTTTGATTTGTGCGGGTGCGTCCTCTTGCCCGGCTCCTCAAACGTGCACGCCGAGCTGGACGTGAGACACGACTGGCACGGGTGGCCCTCGTCGCACTTAATCCTGCGCCGGCTGTGTACACATCGCACATCGCACGGACAAAGGACAGGGCACCCGTCAGCCTCTGCAGCGAAGGGTCTACAGTGCCTTGTGTGCTCACCGACAACGGTCGCACGCTCTGGAAGAAGAGAGCACGGCGCTCGGTCAACGCTCTTCGTGCATGTGGGATCCGCGAGAAGAGGCGGCGCACCTGCTCAGCTTGAACCGCCGCTCCTTGAGTATCGAGCTCGTCTGGGACGGCTTCACGTCTGGCGCGGGCGACATCGAGGCGCCGTTCTGCTGCTCCGCCTGGGGCGTTGCGGCCTGATCAACGCTGCTGCCGGGCGAGTTGGAGGAGTCCATCGCAGCCATGCGACATATACGGTCGAAACGAGACAAGACGAGACGAGATAGCCCAAGCAGTGATGTATAGTATAGTCAAGCGTCGGGCGAAGAACGAGTCAGGAAAGATCGGAAATCCAAGCGGTGCGAGAGCACTAGTAGCAGGTCACTGTGGGGCTCGCAACAAGTTTCGGACCTCTCTCGACCGACTCCGAATTTCCCTTCTCCCGCAAAGAGACGCCGGGCCACGAGCGGATGACTAATTTCCCTGCCGGAATTGCCCCCGCCATTCCATCCGGTCCCATATGCGCGCTTCTCGCCTTCTCCTCCGCCCAACCCCCCCGCCCCGTGACCGCTCTGACAGCTCAGAAGCACCGATCTCTGCCCGGCCCGCACCCAACGGCAACTCATAGCCCTCAGCGGCGGCGCGTGATAATGATATTTGCCGGCGGTTCGCTTAATTAGTGCGACGCGATTGCGATCGTATGCACACCTCCGCGGAGCGCTCCTCGTCGAATGGGATCGACTCGGTTGCGAGCTCAGTTTACAGGCCGTGTTTCCGACACCTGCTCAGCTGCCTTGGAGACAAAGGACTGGTCATGGGATACAACGTGCGCTGTGCTGTTGTCTTTTATAACCGCCTCCACCTTCGAAAGTGCCTCTGTCGTCAGGTAGTCGAGATGGTGAGTCGCCTCATCTAAGACAAGGAGGTGGGGAGATGATTCGAATGTCGCCAAAGCATACACGACTCGGACGCAAACCATCTGGCTCCCGCTAAGGGAGCGCAAGGGCTGGAGAGCATTGGCTCTGATCCTGTACTTGCCCAGGTGCGCACGACATGCTTGCTCCATGCACTCCAGATTCCTCTCCCTTATGAAGGAGAGAGCAGAGCAGAGATCTCAGCAGGGTACTGGTGGAGCTCGTTGACATGATACTGCGTGAAGTAGCCAATCTTTGCGGCAGGGTGTCAGGTGATCTTCCCTCTGGTGGGTGATAGCGCTCTATAGCTCTCCGATGAGGGCCTCTACGAACATCGTCTTCTCACTACGATTTGTCCTCATGCAAGGTGGTGTCAATGAATCAGCTGCGTCGCGAAAACCTCAATACCCCAGACTTGCGGGAGCGACCTTCAGGTAACCATGCATGGAAATCGAAGATATCATAAGAATAGACTTCTACGCTATGCGATATGATATAATATGTATGGACAGCCAATAGGCGGGGGGCGAGACGTAAATTACCGAGATGGAGTGATGGCACAGGTCTAGGTGTCTGGGCGCCAAGGGTGCTTCCCGAGAACATCATGTGATCCCCGGAGTCCGCCAGACTCCGGCAGACTCGCCGGACTCAACAGTCTCGATATTTTGAGAAGCACCGATCTCTGCCCGGCCCGCACCCAACGGCAACTCATAGCCCTCAGCGGCGGCGCGTGATAATGATATTTGCCGGCGGTTCGCTTAATTAGTGCGACGCGATTGCGATCGTATGCACACCTCCGCGGAGCGCTCCTCGTCGAATGGGATCGACTCGGTTGCGAGCTCAGTTTACGTGCAGTCGTCCCCTTGGTTCCTATCGCACGTCGCCGCTTGCTTGGCTGTAGGTCTAACTTAACCACAGCCGGCCTTATTAGGATCGGGTGCAACCGCTTGCTAGCTAGTGGGGGAACAAGGCCGCCCACGGGGTCACGAGCCTCCCGGACCGTCCCCACCAAGCGCGAAACCGGACCAGCGCGGGAGGACGCTCCTATCACGGACTGCACAGCCTCCCCCGCGTTTTAGCGACATCACAAAGACCAGCTGTTGTGCACTTCCAGTAGCCTGCGGGGGAACCGGCAAGTTATTTCGAGGCCTAGGCAAGGCGATTTTCGCACAGACAGAAATAGTGGGATGTATGCAACAGCAGCGACGATGGTATACTGCGCCTCCTCCAGCAAACGTACATGAAAACGACAGTGCGCGTACAGCTACTGCAATGGTGGTACAGACAACAGCAATGATACAAACAAGACATGAAAAGCACATACATCCGCATCGTAGATTCGCAGTCCTGGAACACAGAAAAGTGGTACAAGCGACAGTCGACGGTCGCCGAGGGTAGTTTGCGCCAGGATGGCGGAGGGTGGGTTGTTGCTTAGAACGGCAGAGGATTAGCCGCCGGCCGCGCTCAGAGGTCGCCCCGGTACCAGTCCACGGCGTTCTTCAGCTGCTCGAGCGTGATGAAAATCAGCATCGTCGTCGGCTGCAGCCGCGTCCACGCCGGCAGCCACCCCTTGAACATGAACATCGGGCCCTCGTTCTTCATGCTCAGCCGGATCATCCCCAGCGTCGACCGGCCCTCCGCGCCCGAGGCGGCCATGATCCGGCTCTTGAGCACGTCCGCGGGCGAGCACACCGTCGTCGCGACCGTGCCCGCGGCGAAGGACGCGGTCGTGTGCACGTAGATGTTGTCCTCGAAGTGGCCCGTCTTGAGGAGCTCGGCTTTGAAGAAGTCGTAGCTGTGGGTGGGTGCGCGCACAGGCGTGAGTGGGCGCGCGTCGAGGCGGCGGCGGCGGCAGCGGGAGGACGACTTACGAGGCCAGTTGGCTGGCGTTCATCAGGATCGCACGGAAGACGTTCGGGCCCACTCCACGCGCCAGCGACGACCAGCCTTCCTCCTTGACCATCTGTGAACACACGCACGCACACAAACACGAAGCGTGTCCTGTCAGATTGGCTCTGATGCGATCGAGCAAGCTCGCGGTCGAGAGCGTACCCGGTACAAGCCGTCCAGGCAGTTCTTGTAGTTCAGACGCTTCTCTGGCGGCTTGGCAAAGTCGGACTGGAGGCGGACCATGATCAATTCTGGGAAGCGCTGTCAGTGCCTTGTGCTCGAGGTAGAGTGCTTCAGGGCGAGACTTGCCTCCAGGGTTCCCGACGAAGCCCGCGATACCACCAGCTATAAAGGTCTAGGGTGAGCGGCCCCCCCTGCAAGAGACTCCTCTGCCTACGTACCCATGCTCCCCGCCAGCGCGAGCTTCCACGCCGGCGACTTGGCGTCTACAGCACATCCATTAGCGCTGGTCCCCCTCGCGCGCCCTGTCCCATCATCAACTGACGACACTCACCCGCGCCGATCAGCTTCTTGCTCTCGTCGTAGGCCCAGAAGCGGCAGATGGAGTACGTCATCTGCCTGAACCACGTGCCGGTGATGCCGTCGAAGAGGCCGAGGACGCCCGCCGTGCGCACCGTCTTCTTTATCGAGTTGATCATGCCCTTGTCGCCCGTCGCCTGCATGCGCACCTTCGTCAGGTCGAGCGGGCTTCACGAGATCGCCGCCCAGGATGCCAGAGTGAGTATGCAGTTGATGAGGGCGCGGAGATAGCGGAGACGTACTGGGTGATGGATGCTGCGATGGTCGCGGCGACACCTTTGATGCGCCCGGATGACATCACTCTCGCCGTTCGAGTGGGGGGAGTGCGTGTGGGGCGGACGTACCTCCAAGCCAGAACGGATAGGGCTGCTTCTTGTTGGTGGGGGCAGCGGCGAGGGCGGTCTGCGCGCCGTTCACGGGGATCTGGGCCGCGGGAGACTCTATTGGGGTGGACATGGTGAGGTGGAGCTGGGAGGGGGATGAGAGTTTAGGTGACGAGTATTGCCTGTCTAGCAGCTGTGGATGGCCAAGGTATCTTCTAAGCCTGCGAGCGTCCCAGGGGAAGTCTAGTGATGTCGCTGATGGTCGTCGTGCGTCCTGTGCGCGTCAGTCGAGCACAGCGAGGCCCAGTCGTACGAGCGTGAGGGGCGGGATTCGGCGTATGCGTGCGTGCGTGCGATGGGACGGGGACTATTATCTGGGGAATATCCGGCGGTATTTAGGAATGGGGGGTAAGCGTGCGAGGGGCGAGGCTGGGGATGCCCGGTTCGCACCGAGTGGTGAGAGCGTGAGGAGAGAAAGAGGAAGAGAGTCGCACGGCCCCCAGGGAGGATGTACAGGTGGCGAGCGAAGGGAAGGGCACGGAACGAGAGCCGCACGGCCAGCTGAGGCTGCTGAAGAGGGGGAGAGGACATCACCTGACGGAAGCGCGGCGGAAGCGTCATGCTATGCCCCTTGCGGCGGACGTCGCTCACTTGCACGGAACCCCGGTGGGTGTGGCCCCTGTCATGGGCACGCAGCAAACAAGAATCGGTGCAGATCCTCTGACTAGCGTTCCAGTTGATTAATGGCTTGATACACAGTCGTCGCCGGTGGACAGTCGGACAGTCGGCCGCGGGCAGAGATGCAGTCGACCGCAGGCAGAGATGCAGCCGGCCGACTCGAGAAGACAGAGGAGCAAGTCGCCGCAGGACGAGGGCTATGACGGAAGAGTACTTAGTGAATGCAGGGGGTCACCTGCTACCCCACCCCCTCGGCACTTTCCGCTGAGACACGATCATGTGACCCCGCGGGCCCTAGCGCGGATTTGTGGCTCGTCTCACGCCGCTGCCACCGTCGCCGCCAGTAATGTCTAGTTGGTCGGAGTTCGCGCCTGTGTCACACTCTGCCGCGCTGTGTCTGTCTTGTGCCAGTCTGTTGTGTGCAGGCTGAGTAGGATCCGCGCTCTGTATGTTCTAGTTTCCTTGCTTTCGTGGCTGACTTGTGTCTATCCTACTAGCAATAGTACCAGCCCTTGTCTTTTGAGTAGCCAATCATTCCGTGTGTTCCTCAGACTTCGCCGTATTCAAAGAACGCCTATACATCCAATCCGCAAACCGGTGAGCGTGCTGCGACTGTCGTCCGTGCAAACAAACCGCCCATGATTCGTCAAGATAGTATGTCCCTCCATCGGCAGTCCTTCGCAGGATAGACGCTGACGGAGCACCCCAGCCCTTCGAAGCTCTTCTCCAGACGGGCCAGTAACGACCCATCCCGCTCTATGTAGCAAGTCTGGACGGACGCCAATCCTGATGGTCTTCAATGGCGTACAATCAGACGCTCGCTCCTCGCAGACCCACGCCATCATCCGGCCGAGCAACTTGATTGCTACGGTAGGGTAACGATCCGACATATCATCATTTCTGTCCTCTTTCCAGGATGGATCATCTGCTGGGAGGATCGACCACGGATATCGCTGGCGGTCCCGGGCCTTTTTCGTGTCGATTATCGTGTAGTCCCACGGAGCATAGGGTTCGAACACGAAAGAAAGACTCTCTGGTCGGGGGCACCACACAATACTCGAAGCGTTGTACTGATCTATCCGCCTGCCAAGGAGAGGCAATAGCCCACAGCGGCCGTCCAGTGATCGATCCGAGAGATGCGAGAGCTCAGGAAACGCCTGCAGAATGTCGCCCAGGGGATTTTCATACGGGTTTCGATACGGACATCCATCCCCTTGGAGTGTCAGAGTAGTGACCGTTCCAAAGGCGGCGAACAGCGACAATACGTCTCGGCACCGCTCCAGTCCCCGGCGTTGCGGTACGTTGACAAGTAACCGAGCCTGGCCATCAGTGGACGCTTGCATGCGGAGAAGCCGGGTGGTATCTTCGATGATCACGTCGTAATTCGTGCCCGTCGCGTGTACGAAGGGGCGATAGCGACGGGGAAAGAATCCTCTCAACACTCGCCTTCCGGTGTCTCGAATGTTAAGTGGAGAGACGTCTCCGGCGGGTATTCGAGACGTTCCAGCAGACCGTATACCGCCCATGGGTCGTCTTCAATGACCAGCATGTCGAGCTGAGGTAGCTTCACGGCACGTCTGGCGGGATCCGACGAACTGCTAGCTTCGTCGAGTGGGGGTAGAGCGTGGACTAAAGTGAGAGTTTCGAGATTGGGGAATCGTGCGAGCGCACTGAGGAGACGAGTGCAGTCTTGGCTGAGTCTGCTGGAATGTGGCATGCGCATCTCGTCAGGCAAAGATGCCGGAGGGACGACGAGCCGGGATCCATCGTGTAGGTGGCTCTTGCTCATCTATGGGCCACGTTAACTCGGAGATGAGGTCGATAGAAAGGCATACGAGTCATGAGAGCCTTTCGTCGGTGAGCAGCTGATTAAGAAGAGTGACATCGGAGAACTCGATGGAGATCGTGATAGAGACGATGTTCTGAAGGTAAGAAGAGGAAAGCTCCGTCGCGCTCTGTTCAAGACCGATCCAGAAGACCGTGAGCGCCAGCTCCCTGGTGTGGGCGAGCGCAGAGCGGTTAGCTGCACGCCTCGAGTCTGTCGCCTCGTGTAGGTTCGTATGGCAAGCGATTAGATGAGCCCAGAACGGAGGGGTTCGTAAGACCAGCTCCCGCCAATACCGGCAGACGAGTAAGATGGAAGGGCATATCGGTTCTTCGCCAAGTTCTGGTTGAACAAGCGCACAGATGCTCATGAGGAGCTCAGGGGGTAGAGAGCGATGGACGGAAATTACGCGATTATGCGCTATGCTGAGGGCGCGAATTCGCTCCTGATACTCATGTATCTTAGATAGACACCAAGCCTGGACACCTTCAGGGTTGATTCGTTCAAGAAGGGTGGCATCTTCGTCGGCTATGCGTGGCATAGAGTAGAGAGCGCTCGGATGAGGACCGTGGTTAACCAGGGTGGATGTATTGGTAACCATAGTCAACTTTGACAGGCCTATCAGCTCCCCGCTACAACGCTGGAATAGTGAACACTCACCAACAACGCTTGGGGGATTAAGTGTTCAGGGTAGTGGGGGTGAAAGAGTGCGCGTTCAGGTTGCCATGAGGCCGGTGTCAGTACTCCAATCAATCGACGGCCCAAGTTGCGAACCAAACCGGACTATTGCATCTGCCAAATTGGTGCCAGTCCAAACCTTCCCTAATTCATTCCCCCCTTTACAAGGCATAGTTACATTGTGCGTCTTCAAGTTCCTGTTGTTTCTCAGCAGCGAGGTGTCTCAACGGATGAATTAGCTCGCTCGTGTCTTCTAGTTATCGCGCCTCTATAAACTGAGATAGAAGATGCGAGGTCCATCTATCAATGCAGTCTCGGTTAACATCGCGATGCACGACAACGACGTCCCGTCCTCGACGTACACTTGGAGACTTGAATGAGCTGATGAGATTGACATATTCAACGGATCGTCGCAAAATCAGGCTCGATATGACGGAAGAGCAAAGTTCGTCCGGGAAGGTGTCCTTTATATCCGACAAGGTGACAGTGGTCGGCGCTCCATTCAGAAGTGATGACGCCGGCCGAACGGTTTCAAAGGCAATCGAGGGAGAGGAATGCGCAGTGCGTCACTGCGGTAATACAGTTAGCTCGCGTGCATGACGAACAATGCATCCTGGACTCACCGCCTCTCAACTATCCTGTGGACCCTCGGCCGTGAGACAGAGCGCACTCGTTCATTACAGCGATCTCAGGGAGGAACATCCCCAGAGTGTCGCGCAGTCGCTGTTCAAACGAATGAAGCTCCCGTGGCTGCAGCACGGCTTCATAAATGCCACAGGACCCCCCGAAGGCGACAGAAAGCTTCTGAATCGGACCGCAGTGACCCGCCCTCTCGGTGAGACAGGTTCGGAGCATGCCACAAAGCGAGTCCTGCGAAGCCGTCATTCCACGATCGTCATCAACACCGCCTTCCCTGCTTTCGACCACTGCAGCGTCTGACGGCATGAGCTGAGTGGCCAATCCCGACCCCACACTGACGTCGTAAGGGAGCGTCCATGCGACTGTCAGGTGCGTCAGGTTCGGGCAAAGGAACTCGCCATTTGTCTGAGGCTTCCCTAGGAGAGGCACCACGTCCCTCGTAGTCGTGCTTGCGACACAGGTAAGATGCCGGAGCCGCGGTAGGCGGGGTATAAGAGTCGTCCAGTACTCCTTTGCATGACCCCATGTGCCCTCAGCGGTCAACGAAGTGAGCCCGCCGGCTGGCGCCAGCGCGTTCACGAGCTCGCTCGTAAAGGTGGAGACGATGTCGAGGCGACGTGCTGCCATAGAAAGCGTGACGGACACGGGGCGAACGCCGTCGCCATGTGTTTCCCAGCGAGCGGACCCGTCGAACGGCCAGACGCAAAGGGAGAGGCTCATCTCGGCACGTTGTGCATGAGATGCGTTGTTGATGCCGGGAGGGACTGGGACCATCATCGGCCCTCGAGTGAACTTGTAGGCGGGCTCGAGCACAAGCGAAGTCGTCGAAGGAAAGTCCAGGTGGCGTAGAAACATGTTGATATGGGCAGACATGTCCTGTATCTCGAGGTGGCGGAGCAGTGGGAGGCGAACAATCCTCGTCAACTCTGGTGCCGGTTCATTAAAGAAGCCTCGACCGCCATACTCCGATAAGCTGAAGGCGGTGCAGAGGGTCTCCAGGTTTGGGAAGTTCGCCAGAGCATCGTGGATAGAGCGCATAGAGGAGACAAAGTTGGATGTGGTGGGCAAAGAATGGACCGTCGCAAACTTGAGTTTTAGGTGGCGCAGCGACGTATGCGGGGCGAGCGGAGGATAGAAATGCGAACGCTCGAGCTGGAGGCTGTGAAGACTGGGGTAATGGGGAAAAGTCAAGGTCAAGGTAGGTCTGTTGCCGATCTGGTAACATTTGCGGATAGAAAGGTGTCTCAGACGGGGCATATGCCGCTGCAGGAGTCGTGTGACGTTCTCAAGTTCCAATACATGGAACGCCAACGCCAGAGAGGAGATACGATCAGCATATATTGTCAAAGTACTGACTGTCAGAGCGTTGCAGTGATCGAGGGAGAGAGTAAGGCTCTGAGGTGCCGATCGCGCAAGCTCCACGTTGAAACGATCCATGTGCCACAGGGGAGACCATGAAGATGCAGTGAGCGGAAAGCTCAAGAGATTAGCCCAGAACTGAGGTGTCTTGACGATCAGGTTACGCCAATACCTACAGACACGTAAGACGCGCAAGCTACGGCGGTGCGTCATGGCAGGGTGGATGTATGCGAAGATCTCCATGAGTAGCTCGGGAGGAAGGTATCGGTGTATCGGCGCGGCACTGTTGTACTCGTGGCGAAGCCCGCGTATCTTGCTCTTGATTTCGCAGACCGCATCGTAAGCAGCCGGAGCGAGATGTTTACGGATGAAGAATATATGGGTCTGATACTCGGCGGTTCTGGACAGGCACCATTCTTGAATTTCGTCGGGCGGGAGCTGTTTGTATGCGCTGTTATCCTGGGAAAAACTCCATGCATTCACATCGTACGGCATACCTGAAGTGAGGTCAGTGTAAACATCTATACCAGTCGACGCACCAAGGCAGACCAAATGAACACGTACTTCCTGCACCCTTGGAATCACGGACCACGCTTACTAGGCTATCTGGAACTGCAGGTAGGTACAAGTCACACAGATGGAAAAGTTCGTCCATGCCGTCCAGCAGCGTGTAAGAGAGGGGGGCAAGCAAGTGATAGCAGGTCGAAGAAACCGGCCACGGGCCTGCAGCCGCCACCGAATCAACTCGGAATAGCGCGCCGCACGGCCGGCCCGAAAATTAGCTCTGTAGGCGCCTTCGTGTGGGAGCTTAATGTACCCGATTCGCACCTCTTTTTTTTTTCCTCAAGCATTTGTATCCCGCGTACATAGTACAGGTGCGGCAGTATTTACCAGAAAGCCTCGCTGGATACCAGCGTCGTGTCGTTTCCCACCTAAGGGACCTGTTCAGTGACTTCTGGCCACACGGGTTGGGGGCGAGGGCAAAGCAGTGCTTCGCCCATGAGTTAGTGGGATTTCGAGGCCCCAATTCGCACCTCACAATTCACAATTCCCAATGATCACCGGTTCACCATTGAATATTGACAGCTAACATGCGATAGCATATACACAATATGGACAAGCGGTGTACTATTGCGAGATCAACAGCGCGACAACAGGGTGTCATCTTACGAACAATCTAGAGCGATCGTCGATGAGGCAATTCAAAGAGGTCTCAGAGGAGAACGGAATTCAGCACTACAGTCAAGATACACGTAATGAACTTGGTCGTGATCACGGAGGAATCACGTCGTTCCGGACCTGCCACGAACTTTGAGTCTCTTCCGGGACCATATCCGCCGATGGCGACATGCTCTGCATTTGGAGGGGTGTAGCGTCCGGCGCGGCTTGAGATGTTGCTGAAATTGTGATCAATGCTTGAGATCATAATCTGGAAGTATAAGATAACGATGAGCATACCGGGGAAGATTCCACCGCGAAATAGTGCGGCGGAGACGGCTTCTTCGAGCTCAGCACCAGCGTTTGAGGGCACTGTAGACCTCAGTCCGACACGTGGGGGATCGACAGAAGGACGCGTCATGTTCCCATAGTAGAACGCGACCAGCGTTCTATTGATTGTGAGTAGGCTCGGTTTTCCTTCATACGGCTGAAACAAATGGCTCACGACTTCAGGAACGGGTCACCGAGGCTCCAGCTGTACGAGAAACCATCGCTGCTAGGAGGGTCGGTTGACACCAGAGCTGGCCTACATCGCGCGTGTAAAGCTGGATAACCACTATTATGGTGAGATTTCCTTGGATGTGCAAAGTCGCGCGGGTCGACAGGGAAGCGGATGCCCCCAATCTCGAACGACAGAGTATGCGGTATCGAACAGTCGAACGTGTTGCCAAGGATGGAGATGATTTGTTCAACAACGTCTTGCGGACCGCGGATCAACGAGTTGCCCTAGAGGGATCATCAGGACGGTGTGCCAAGTAGACTCGCCACAGCGGGACGTACTGTGTCAATTAAGGCCGAAAGCGAGATCGAGGCTGGAGATAACATCGAACGAGGTAGCTTCGTGCCGTCCAAGTACACGTCATCCACAGGGATCTCCCATACCAGTGGATAGACCTCGTTAGGCGCGTCTGGAGGTGGAGGTAGACCTCCTTGACTCGGCGAATAGCTGCGGACCGGCACCCAAGTCAGATCCTCATCTGTCAAGCCGAAAGGAAGACCGCCCAGAGAGAGTGTGCCAGTGGTTTCGCTAAGGGAGAACGTGTCGCGCTGTAGACTAGTCACCACGAGGGGACGGGAGAGAATTTCCCAAGTCACGAGCCGAGTGAAAAAAGAGCCGAGGGTAGAGAACGAATCTGCAGGAGATGCAAAGGATTGCTGTGTTGTAACTCGACTTTTTTGACTACCAGAGGTGTGATCAGCGCGCCCTGTCGAGTCCGCGGACGATGAGCTGTGGTCCTGGCGAGCGGGGCTGTCTTCAGGAACGGCTACCCAGCGCTTGTATATAGGAGGGATGACCCTAGTCGTGTTGGACGAGAGAAGCTGGCGCCATATGACACTGATAGGAGGGAACCCCAGACCAAGTATTCCAGAAGACCCAGTTTGCAGTACGGTAGTGTTTGTGTCGACGATAGCAGCAAAGTATTGATCTGGTATAGACATTCCAGCTACGCCGACAGTAGCTGTACCTATGGGCCCAGTGGCATGAGTCCCGGTACGCGAGTCACCATAGAGCAATTGTACGTCTTGACCAGCCGGAGTGAGGTCGGCGTGCGGATAGAGCGGAACATTGGCTTGTACGCAGCTGTCGCCACACTGGTCCGTGACAACCCAAAGGTCAGCGGAGCCGGTATCTGTGCTGAGCGATTGGAGACGGATGCAATAGGGGATACAGGCGACATACCAAGCAAGAGAGGCACGAAGGTTTCCCCGACTTGCACCAAGACATTGTAAGTGCTAGTGGGTGTTATGGACGCTACCCTGCGCATACACATGAGTACTCACATATCCAAAACGTCTCCGAGGCCGACACGAGAGGCTTGTCCACTCCTTTTCTTAGAGCGTTGGGCATTGCCGACGGATAGGCAGATGTAAGACATGTCCTCCGGTTTCTTCGGTATTGGGACGAGACAACGAAGTCGACGCTAAGAGCCATAGCGCTAGCAAGGATAGAATTGAGAGAGAACGAGCCATATGCACAGCTCTAGTGTAGTGTCCAGAAGTTTATATGAGGTGGAAGTGGGAAGAACAGTGATCACCAGCCACGAACCCAACGCGCATGTACCGCTTGATGCAAGATCCTGTACAAACTGATATTTACGCCCGAAGGTCAATAACACATATGCCCCATGGCTGAGTTGGTTACAGCGTCCGACTGTTACTTACGACTTGTTTCCCGAGTCGGGGTCAATCGGAAGGTCGTGAGTTCGAGCCTCACTGGGGCAGTCTCTTTTTGCCTGTGCTGGTATGTTGTGTCGAGCACAGTCCTTTGACTCCGCACCCCAGAGCTGATTTGATGACGAAACATTTCCAGGGCAAATTGCAGCACTGGAATATGGCTATATCTTAGCTGTACAAGAGGTCTGGCAGCGCATGTCACTCATGTACCGGAGTCCCAACCTCATCTATCGGTTGGTGATTAGGTATGCATTGAAGGTCCCGGTGGCATACCACAGAAAGCAAGGTGATCCAAGTGTGCTATCATATCTTGCTTTCCACCCAACCCATCTGTTCACTAGGAAGCTACATCGATTGGGGTCGCGTAATTAGGCGGCTTAACATAGTATTCAACAAGTTCGACATATGGTAACGGAGGACAAGGCTACACACAACAAAATCTGAGATGTCGTTACAAGATACATAGAGGACATCAATAATCGCAGTTCAGAAGCCGACGAACGAAGATTCGTCAATATAATAGTTGCTTCAGAAGATAAACTTCAAGGTCGTGTCCTAGTGGATTGCGTGTTAAGGCAACGAAAATGAGCACATTGACCGTTGACGTACAATGCGATGGGAGCTGGATAGCTGAGGCTTCTGGCTGTAATTCTTCTTCAGGATAGTCCGGACAGAGCGCAACAGCTCCTGGTATGTCTGGCTCGGGTTTTGCTCTGAGCGTACAGGCCGTGACTGTCAATCAAAGCTGGAAGAGCACCGAGAAGCGACGACTTACTCAACGAAGCCATGAACGCCTGCATGACATCGTAGAAGTTCATTGTCAGATGATTCATCGACAAGGATCATAAGGCCAGAAAAACACACATAGCTCATGGCACCCGTAGCGACACCTGCCTCCCAAGTGTCCGCGCTGGTTTGCGAGTCCTTGCATCCGCTCCATGTGATCTGCGCGCGCTATCATTAACACACTCACAATAGCGAGGGTACTGTCGATGTAGACACATACGACGTCAGCCGGAGTGGACTTTGCGTCGAACCACCTCTTGGTCACTTGACTTCCCTTCACGCGCCCGTCGGACGAGTACTGCGCGCGCATGTGCATGAGATCCGAAGAAATCCTCCTGTGTGAGGAGAGCGTACCAAGTAAGGAAGATCTGTTGCATCGCTTGAGTTTCATGTGTCCTGGCAAACCACAAATGCACTCACCAAGCACAGATCCGGAGTGGCATGACTGCAGGTAAAAGGTAAGCATCGGAACGCCAAGGGCAAGGTCATCCTACATACGTCAAAAAGCGCCTGTTGGTCATGGAACATCAGCGTCGGAACTTACGTCAAGACATTATGCGCCAGGCTCACCGTCAATCGGCATCCAGGCGGCAGTTTCTTCACCATAATGGTATGCATCAACTGTCAAGATAAGCGTCAGAAGACGCAATAACAGTCACGATGGGATGGCGGGCGTACATCATCGGAAATGTATCCTGCTTTCTTGAAGTCTAGAGGGAAGATGACTGGTCGCGTTGCTGGGTGAGATAAGCTGGCCACATGGACAAGCAGACGTTACTGACTTTCATCGTAGCCGTCGACTTCATCACCGTCTTTGTCCTTCACTTGACCACCATGTCCTGAGTCTAGCTCCAAGATGAGACGTGTATGAGACGGCATGCTCGGAGAAGAAACCTACAGTGGAAGAAGAGAGAATCGTGAGGATGCGCGCCCGTGACGAGCCAATGCATTGCATCGAGTATGTTCAACTTTGTCGGACGCCGGCGAGGGTCCGTGGCATCGTCCGTCAGCATGACGATGTCGTCAGGCTTGTAACCATGACCTGTGAAGCCACTATTAGGAGGAGACGTGTCGACCGGAGGACGCTCAAGGACGAACGAAGAAGGAAACGCTCCACGTTCCGCGCGTCATTCACACAGCCATGTAGCTCGTTAGGTAGGCCCGCGTAGTTGATGCCAATCTAGAAGACTCCTAAGTCAGTCACCTTGTCTCCTGGGAATCATTGTCTAGAGCCGTACACAGAGCGCCTTCCTCTTCCCCGTACACTTCGAGTATTGGAAGGTGTGCTCTCTCCCTGGCCCCGAGGACGACATCGGCAGCAGATGCTGGACAGGATCTGCATGTGGTCGATGCGGTTCTGTGGCAACCAAATCCGCTCAATCAACTACTGCACCCGCATGATCGAGAGATCTCACGGCTTACTGCTAGACGTCTTCTGAGGCTTGGAGCTCTGATGCACCACGACGGCTGCGGGACTACTACTGTGATGCACAACGACGGCGGGTCTGGCAGGTTGGCTGTGGCTATGACTATGCGAATGCGAGTGGTGCCGATGGCTGCTATAGTGGGTGTGAACTGTATAGCCGGATGAGCCATACCCAGGCCCGCGCGGCATGCTCACTGGCTCGCGCGGCACTGGAGCGGGACCATTTGGGACAACCCAGGGCCTGGATGACCCAACATTACTATACGGCGTGTATGGAACGCAGATTATGCACGTACCCCGGGTCGTTGGAACGCCTATCCGTTGAGAAAATATCAGCGCAATATAGAGAAAGTGAGGCCACGGAACATACGTTACAGAACCGAAGGTTCCGGCATAGCTTGCGGCGGTGTCAGACACAGCAGAACCAATTGGCATGAAAGGCGCCGGTGCAGGCGCGGATGAAGGGAAGCCGTAGCCACTTGGGCTAACCCAGAAATACGGTGCGCACATAAGTACAAGCTGATGGCAAGTTGCGCGTAGGGGGGTAGACTCACGCAGAAGGGAACCTATATAAGACAGCGGTCAGCCGAAGAGGGGCCGTCAGAATGCAGAGAACACCTACGGGGGCGCTGGGGACAACCCGCGCGACCTCTGTTGATGGACTGGGTAGGGAAGGGAGCTCTGCCCGTTAGCTGCACTTCCACTGAAATCCCACATCATCTTGACTGGGGTGGCTTCGGTTTACGTCTTTAGGATAATATGCTGCGGAGCGACACGGAGACGTGGAGCGGACGAGAGAGGATATGGTATGCAGTGCCGAGGCAAAAGATGGCAGGAAGCTTATAAGGCGGCATGCGGCGCTACCGCAGAAACAGCGGGTGTGTGAGTAACGTCGACTCCTTGGCACTGGGCAGATATGGAGACGTCAGAACTCAATGCCGAAGTATCCGGCGCCGGAGTGGGTTCCTGGGCGGTGACTCGCCCCGACATTGGCTCGCGTCTCGAGACCGCAAGGCTGTCCAGCTAACGGAACCAAGTATGGATAGAATCGGACACGTGGGCTTCCTTCAATATTTATGAAGGCAGTAGGACTTACTATTCCGTTACGGAGGAATAGATTCTGGTGAGAAGCTTGCTCATGTTCAGAGCCGGAGGCGTATGTTCCTTATGGCCTACCAACATTGACGCGGTGGAGATACAAGGCGCGTAAGTGGCGGTCCTGGTTTGACCTCTAGGCGCTCAATGGTCTCCGTTCGCTTGGTGCGATGAACCGTGCATTATATCTATAATCACATGTAGGATAGCTTCCTATGCAAAGGCCCGGAAACTCTCACCAGAATTTGCCCCTCTTCTCCATTCAGCATAGGCACTCTCCTAATAAGACACTGTGGACAATGCTACTGATGTCATTATGCATATAAATCACGTTAATGATGTTCTACTTGTAAATGTTCCAAGGAATGTGGCCTCCACCCCAGAAAATGGATAGCGAATGAATGGCGGGCTGTAACAACAGTGGGCGAAAGATCGAATCGAAAGCAGCAATACAAGCATTCATAAATAAAGCGAAGATGAACAATAAAAGAATCCAGCAGTCATATACGCAAACGCAAACGCATCGTGAACCCTATACGACGCACGTCGCCTCAGAGCTAAATGGCATGGGTGGATCCGGGAGGGCTAGTGGTAGCAACACGTGGACTAATATCACACAACGGGCAGCAACAGCCGCTGAATACGACGAAGACTGACCCTACACACCTTCTCAGGCTCTACCTATAGCGCATGGGGGCCCGAGTACGAGTACGTACTACTCCGCCATGACTCCTCTTGCTGGTGTGAGGGTTCAACGCCGGTAGGGGTGTACGCATCGTAGGCGTAGGCATCGTCTACGCCGGGGTCGTCATGTGCAGTCACGAACGAGTCCTCCGTTGCCATCGGAGTATGAATGGCGTACGCGGAGGGAGGTGGATCGCCGGGATGGGCGGCCCACTGTTCTTGTGGTGGCGACCGTACGCGCATTTCGTACTGCTCCGCATGCGATGTTGCACGCGGTGAGCGCTGCCCAGGGACTTGCAAAGACGCAGAAGGTGGTGGTGATAAGTATGTGGGGGAGGTTGGAGGTTGGTTGTAGGAGACGCTGGAGTGGGACACCGCTGACATAGGAGGCTCGGTGCCACCGTATTGGCTTCGGGTATAGTGGTATCGGTTCGATTCTGGTAGCGGAGAGGGCGGGGGAATGTTGGAAGCGGAGTAGTAGGAGAGTCTCTGGAGGGATGGGCTGGCATTATATTGTGCCCGGGCGGACGGAGTCGGTGAAGCTATCGGGGATCGTTTCGACTCGTGTAAGTCTGGTGCTATCCTCTCGGGTCGAGGAGACTCCCCAGCCATGAGGGGAGCGGTAGGACGAGGAGAACCATCAGACATGGGTGTGCGCGAAGTAGGCGGTGTGTACGTCAAGGGAGTTCCATATTCGTCGTCCGGCTGGCTGATCTCCGACTCGGACCGAATATGAGGCTGGTGGAACATAGGCGTCTGCTCGAGTTTGGCTTGCTTCTTGCGATTGCGCCTGTGCTGGATACCCAGACGATCCTTCAGATCACCGAGTACCCACATCTCGCGCACGATATCCTTGTCGAGAGGCCAATACGTGCTCTTGAAGAATTTGACCAAGAAGCGAGGGCCTGCAAGTGCATGAGCGCTGGGCACAATCCACGATATGGCATACTCACCGAGGGCGATGACGACGGAAACGAGGACAGCGGTCCAGAAAGTAAGCTCGCCGAACAGGATCACGACCTCATCTATGAAGTCGATACTCTCGAACAAAGAGTAGATAGCGATCCAGGCCAACATCACTACGGAAGAACCAACGACGATGACCCATGTTATGACGGTCCAGCTAGACATGGGAAGCTTCAGCACACTTGAGCAGAGAGCGCAAGAGAAAAACTGACTAGTGAGTATTCATCCCCACATAGGTGTTAGCGCATATGATAGCAGCCACGGAGACCGTAGTGCCGAAGTCGGCAAGCGACTCAATCGTCTTCCCGTTCCATGAGATGGCGAGGCCAAGAGTCCAGGTGAAGTACGGGATGAAGAATACGACAGCGGACTGATAGAGACCATCCAGCATGTACATCCAGAACTTGAGTCGAGTGTACTCGAGACCCCGGATACCCCGGATGTACAGTTGAGGGAATGCGAGCGCAGCCTTGGCGTTGAGATCCTGATCGAATGCTGAAACCAGAAATCAGCCAGGGAGAGGAGTAAAAACGAACGGCCGTCTTACCTCCGAGGGCTATGACTGGCAACGACGTGAACACCAGATTATAGAGCAGTATGAATGTATACTGGTAAAGGTACGTCGCGTCGAAACTATTGAAGATCATGAACCAGAACATCGCGAAGGTCCAGATAACGTTCTGCATAGTCTTCAGCACGAAGTCTCGCTGCTAATCTTCAGAGGCGCTTACCTTGTAGAAGAAGTTAGCATGCATGTCTGCAACGCGCTGGTATGACCAACGGCCGTGAACAAGCAGCAGCTTCGTCAGGAACCGGAATTGACCGAACGCATAGTCAGCGGACATAGCAGCCTGCGAACCCTCGTGCCCAAGGAGACCACAGCCGATATTCGCCTCCTGAATCATCGCAACGTCGTTCGCACCGTCGCCAATCGACAGCGTCATGGCATTCCGACCCTCTTTCACCTAGAAAGACTCCGAGTTAAACAATGTTCACGGACAGGCACCAGGGATTTCTCATAACGCACCAGGTTGACAACCATCGCCTTCTGCGCGGGGGACACACGACAGCAGACGACAGTTTCACATTGGGTCGACAGCGTGAGGAAGAGTTGCTTAAGCTCGGGGCTGAGCGCATGACGCAAGGTGTCACCGTCGATGACAACCGCGAAAGCGGCCTGAGCACCGGGGACGAATCCGCGTCGGTTCAGGCTCAACGACGGCGGGCCCAACACAGAGGCAATCTTGTTCAAACCGCCTTCGATCTGCAGCCGTGCAGCCTCCGAAGTCTCCGCAGACAAGATCATGATCTCCATGTCGCTCTTGAGCAGGTTACAGCTGAAACCTATTGAACGACACAATCAGCACCTCAGCAGGTGGACGTTGACCCGGACACCATTCAGAACTCACCGATCTCAATGGCCGTCTGCACTTTGTCGCCTAATGGGCGCAAGAAGAACAAAAATCAGCATAATGCCAACCCGATGACTTTCGCCCTGACATACCTGTCAAGATCCAGAGCTTTATACCCGCCTGATGGAGCGTCTCAATAGCCTCCGGTACGCCCTCCTGCAGCTTGTCCTCCAACGCCGTCGCCCCGAGGATCCTCAGCGAATGCTCGACCAGTTCGTTCGCCTTGTCAATCTCCTCATCTCGATCGGTGATCGAGTTGGTCGCCGCCTCGTACACACGCACCCAATCCATATACTCCTGCTCAGACATCACCCTCGACGCAATACACAGCGTCCGAAGACCCCCGTTGGCGAACGCCTCCATGTCACGGGCCGTCGCGGCCTTCAGTTCCGGGTCGTGGTCCGCCGCAAGGCGCTGATAGATGACGCTGTCCGCGCCCTTGCAATACAAGACGATCTGGCCTTGGGGGTTGCGCACGATGACGCTCATCCGCTTCCGCGTTGAGTTGAACTCGAGTAGTTGGAGAGGAATATAGCGCTCCGGTTGGCCCATGACCTCGATGTCGATCGCGTCCTTGGCCTTGTGCACGAAGGGGAACCCAACGTCACGTGCAGCGGCGACAAGGGCGGCTTCGTCCGGAGATTCGGCCTTGTATTCGAGGTGGAACGGGTGCGCGCTGTCAGAACGCTCAGAGAGGACGCTGTGGCAGACAGCCAGCGCGCGGAAGAATTCGATGAGGTGCTGGCGCTGCGGCGAGCTGCGGTCTGCAAGGTCGTCCGCAAGCCTGGGCGAGATGAGGGTGAGGTGGTCGGGCTGGGCGTAGCGATTCTTGAAAGTCTGCGACATCTTCTCGATCATGCGCTGCTTGAGGACCTGAAGGTGTATATCCTCCTCTTGCGGGTCCATGGCGTCCACCTTGCCCTCGCGCTTCGCGGCCCCGCGCTGCGCCTCCGTGACCCCTTCGCCGTAAGCGATGCCGTTAACCGAGCATTTTTGGAACTCCATGACGTTTTGCGTGAGCGTGCCCGTCTTGTCCGAGAATATGTACTCGATCTGTCCGAGGTCATCCGAGATGTTCCAAGTCTTGGGAGTGCAGGCGGCATCGAAAGGCTTGTAGTACATGTCCACGTCCTGCGAGATGAAGAACGCCTGAATCGTCTTGACAATCTCGATGGAGATGTACAGCGAAATCGGGACGATGTTCTGGAACGCGATGAGGCAAGAACTACAAGGGGCATCAGCTCAAGTGATATGAACGTGGAAGAATCCAAGTATGAGATCACGTACACGAAGGTGACGACAGCGTTGAGCACATATGAACTCGAAGGTTCCGAGTCCACTTCAAAGAACTTCGCACTCGTGTCCCCCTTGCTATCGAAATAGCCGTTCAAGATGCCGGAAGCGATACACATGAGCATGAGGAGGACGAAGTTGACGATGACATTGAAATTCGTCTCCTTCTCGATCTTCGAACGCTTCGAGGGGGTGTCGCCGCCGTTCAACATGATCTTCGAGTCCGCCCCAGTAAAGACAACCAGCCCGATGATCCACGCAGTGTTCCGGATTGTGCATCCACGGAGAAGGAGCTCGTTGATCGTAACAGACTCCTGCTTCTGCTCGCCGGACGACGGGTCCGTGTATCGAAGGACACCATGGTAGAGGTACAGATTGGCATGGGGCGGCTCAGAGTCCAGTACAAACGAGACGCGCTCGATGTCCTCTTCCGAAGTGATCGACGAGGTGGCGCGTACGGACTTGCGCGGCTTCAAGTTCGTCTCGCCGTCCAGGTTCTTTGTCTCCAGGTAGCACATGTTATCGGGGTCTGACGTGGACAACACGACGATATCCGCCGGTACCTGCTCGTTCTCGCGCAGCAGCACGATGTCGCCGACCTCTAGCTTCTTCCAGAGCGTCCGCTCCCACCGTGCAAGCCCACTCGTTCGCCTGTTATAGTCGATGACTCCGACAGACGGACGCTCGCGGATAGACTGCTGGTATGCCGTCAATGAGCCAGACGCCGACCCCGCTCCCCACGACATCACCGTGCCCCTGGCCTCCTGCGGCGGCGGGTAGCTGTGCGAGTCAACACTTTGAATGTCCTCGAGCTTCCTCCCAGCGCCATAGTAGCCCATCTCCGAGTTGCCGTCGTTGACATTAAGCGTGCTGACGCTCGCGCGCCCATCGCCGGCCTTGCTCAGCACGATTTGTTTGCCCTCGCCGGCCTCTTTCTCCCGCAACCGCCGTACGCCGCGCGTCACCTTCCCAGGCGGGTTAAGGCCAAGCATCTTCTCGAACCAGTTGCGCGGGTCCGTCGGCTGGTTGACGTTCCGCCAATTTCCGAGCTTCGTCGCGGCCGAATTGTTGACCTCATCATCGAGGAGTGCTCTCCGGTAGTCTTCGATGCCGTCTTTAATCGCAGTCACCGTGAGAATGAAGATGAGCGGGAGCGCGGAGGTCTGCGGCGAGGGCGCGCCGAATATTGAAAATACTGTTGGGGGTGTCAGAAGCAGTGCAGTCGGCGCGGAGCATTACTACCTACCTTGAACGACGACGAGCGCAAGAAAGTATAGGTTCGCAACGCTGCACAATCACGGTCGTTCAGTTAGTAAGGTCGGTATTTGGGGATCGGCAAGACGTAAGACAATGGTTCACGCTCTTTCCAGGAACCGAACAAATCGAAGCATCTCTCCGAACGGAAATCAAGTCGCAGTGGGACGTGAGACCGCTCCTTCTACGTGGGGTGCGCACCAGCCCTCATGGTCGCGCGCCCCTTGGGCATGTTTGGGAGTGGAAACGGGTGTACTATAATTGCGCGGACTGTCAGAGGTTACCTTCTCGACGCTGATCTTCGCCGAACGTGAGACCGGTGACTTCGGGCACTCTTGACTATTCTGCAACGCACAGCGCGCTTTCCTGAACACGAGAGCACAACGGAAGGATTCAAGTGCGACTAGTGCGCAGCATGCGCGCAGGAGAATGTGAGTGGAGAGCAGCACATAGATCTCGTTGTCGATACCTCCACGGCCTCTCCGGAGAAACGAAAGAACAGTTGATCAAATGGCTTCGCAAAAATAGTAGAAGTAAGAACCAGAGGGGTACGTACTTCCACTATGCTGGCGAAGATGGACGAAGCCGGGTGCCAATACATGGAAGCGTAAGCGCATTTTGGTGGACGCAACACCGCACTCGCCGGGCGCTACGGCCTGTGCCAAGCCAGGAACAGGGTACTCACCGACGGAACTGCTCGTAGAGGTTTCGAGGTATGAATGTAACGATTGTATACTCTATGGAGGTGTTATAGCACGCAAACAAAGGAGACATACGAAGACACGCACTGCTTGTTCGAACTTTATTTCGCGCATACCTTATGATGGGCTCTCCATGGTTGTCCTTCTCGTCGGGGGGTAGGGGCACGTTGACGTAGACATTCCGTCGCCGGCCATGAATGTTGGGCTGGGTTGCAGGACTGTCCGAGTCTGCCGTTTCCTGCCTCCGTTTCTCTGTCCCCCTCCGGAAGAACCTAGAGCCCTTCCTTCTCGTCGACTTCCTCCTCTCCGCCCTCTGCTCCTGGCGAATCGACTCTGCGATGGTCGAAGCTGCGGTGCGCACCGTGCGGAGACGGAGCTCGGGGTCGATACCATCGTTAATCTCGTCGTCGGTGTCTAGCTCGTCGTTGGGGTGCGCGTTGCGGCGAAACAAAGACATGTGTTGTTGTAGCGCAATGCGCGGAGACCCAGAGCCAGCTCGAGAGTCGCGAGAAGACAGCCAGGAGAAATGTAGAGATGCTGGAGAAGAGTAAAAGCTTGACCTACTCAGCCGTGGCGGTGAGCGAGATGCTGGCGCAGCCAAGCGCGCCCATCCGTAACAAGGACCCCGAGACTCCGCTCTTGTCCCTTCGGCTTACGCCGCCGGTCCTTATTCCACACTCTCATGTCAATTCTCATTTCATGTGAGTACTTATGCCCTGAACATCGTACAGACGGTCGTCTATACTTACTATCGACTCGAAGGGGAGTTTGGCCATTGACTCGTGCAACAACCATTCGTGTCGATCCTACTTGCAAAAGGTGGCAGAAGTCCCGGGCCGAGTCTTGACAGAATTCATCTGACCGCGGCGCATGCGCATCTGTTTCTAGGCGTGCCTTTCTCGTCCGCCTCTCAGTCTGCGCTCGGAAGCTTCGCACTTCTTGACATTTGATGGATGATTGTAAGGCATACTTATTTCCATCTGGCAGCAGGGAAAGGGAGTGCCACAAGACGAGCCTCATGAATCACCCTCCACAACCGTGCACCCTGACGTTTACCAGCAGAACGAACAGTGTCTCAAGATGTGAGCTGTGCGACATGTTGCAGATATCATGTCTCAACCAGACCCTTGTTGCGCACTGCTTCCACAGAGAGCGTGCGAAAGACGCGGCACATGTGACGTTTGCCACATTCTATCACTGAAGGTTACAGTACATATTGTGGGGCAGAAGCTTTGAAGTAAAGCTCCGAGGAAATGCATGACGTAGTAGCCTCGATCTCATGCTCTATGAAGCCGTCAGAAAGGTAGCCAGAGCGAGTCTTGATTCAATAATTTATTCCGAAGCGCGATGGTTGTGTACAAGATGCGTTGGGTCACTGCAGGCTGGGTGTTCGAACATGGAGTATGTGCTACAACGTGTCTAGAGGTAATCTGGTATCAAATGTAAGGCTACAGCGTCAGCTAGGACTTGGGTCGAAGCTGGTAAAAACAGTCATCAGCAGAAGAAACGAATGCAATAAATATAGGTGGAAGTAAAGGAGTGTGAGCAATGCGCAGAGCATGCGCAGCTTTTGAAGTCGAAGTCGAAAAGGGGATTGCAACGTGGAGAGCGTCGAACGGAAGCGAATGTGGTGGGTTGATCAACGAGACGTGATGAAGCATCAGCGCTCGTGGTCGCAGACTCGTCGCCGTGGTCGGTGAAACATCCAGTGGGCGGTCAGTACAGCGCATGCGAAGCACCGCTTCCACCAGGGCCGTGCTGCGCCGTTCTCGCGCCCTCGCGAGGCTGCCGCACCTCCAGCCTATCCGCAATATGCTCTCCAGCAGCCTCGATGACCTCTACGACGCGTCCAGGCGGCAAGATGGGCGGCTTGAAGGCGACCGTGACATCTGGACGGAGCGCCTCTCCCCCGAGCAAGAACATCTGAGACACCGTCAGCTCGCGCAGGCTCGGCAGCGCCTTGTACAGCGCCGCGAACGCCTCTGCCGACGCGTGGACCTTAGTGAGCGCGAGGCTCTCCAGAGCAGGGAAGGGTGACTTGTCCGCAGCGACGCTCGCCTGTGCCGTCGGGACTGTACATGCGGTCAGGAGCGGCTCGGCGTCCAGGCGCTCTTCGAGGGCCGGAGAGGACGACTCCTCAAGGGCGAGATGGCGCAGCGCAGGCGCGTTGAGCGTGTCGAGGATGGTCGCGGCGGCATACGCGTCGTCGTATCCCAGCTCGATGGACTCTAGGCAAGGTAGAGGGAGGGGCTCCTCGACGTAGGAGGAGCTGCAGCTTGTAGACATGTCGCCGGGGGACAGGCTGGGACCTGAGACGCGCACGGTGAGCTCCTTGAGGCGAGGGCAGCGTTCGAGCAGCGCTTTGAAATCCCGCTCGGTTGGTCGCACCTCGTTGCAGTGGTAGGACAGTTGCAACGTCTCCAGCCCTGGAGCCCGAGCGGTTAGCTGCGCAGGTAGGAGGCGAGGAAGCTCGGCCCAGTTCGTATGGACCCCTGACAGGATGAGTTTCTTGAGACGCGGAAGAACGGGTTCGTCCGTCTGCGCGCGCTCGTTAGCGCGTAGGAGCGCACTGAAGGGCAGATAGTTGGGATCCTTCCTGTCGGTGGGGCTGAACTCGGCAAGATAAGGAACGAACTCGTTGCAGCGCATGAGAACGAGACTCTCGAGGGATGGAAGACTCAGAGGTAACGGACGTGGAGCAGAGACAAGCTGGGGTAATTCCATACCGATGCAGTCAAGAGCCGTTTGCATGGGTGCCCAACGGTCCGTGAGGATGGCGAGGGAGCGGAAGCGGCGGACATGGGGAAGGAGGATGTTCAGCACATGATGCATGTGCTCCACTCGGAAAGGGTGCTGGTAGTCGTACAACTCGTCATTGTAGGGGCTGACCACAGTTCCGAAGGAACTGTGCGCGGTTGTCCGTTCAGTAACGGAATTACGATGCCAGGTTGAGCCGACGCGCACTCACTCTACTTCGGAGAAGTCCCAGTCCGGGTCGCGTGCGTCGATGAAGATGTCAAGAAGGCACTTGGCCGATCTTGCCAGATATCTCGAAGCGTTCGCGAAAATCGGGCCACCACGATCATTCATGGTATCTCCAATTGTCACGACGATCCTCGTCCAGAGGTGGGGAGTTCCGAGTGCGACCACGCGCCAGTGCTTGTTGACTGACGCGAACACTTCCGGACTTGTGGAAGAGGAGGACATACAAGGTGAGATACCATCTCGAGTGAGTTCGTCCGTACTGTATCCTTCTTCGTGATGTTCCGGGTCTGGGGTGTGTGCTCCGAGAAGGAAGATGTACGAGAGGAGCTCCACGGGGAGACTGGCGATCGGTGCCCGATGGGTTACTGTAAGAGCCATGGCTGAAGGCCCATTCCTTGCAGAGAGAACTCGAGATTGAGCTTTGTGCGAGGGATCCAAGCGGAGTGTGAGCTGTTTAAGAATGAGATCTCCATCGTGTCGCTTCGGGGTGGCAAGGAGACGTTGCGACGCGACAGCTGTTGCAGTGGTGGTAAATGACAGACTCATCCTCGAATGTTCTGTTGCGGAGGACTTGTATACACAGCCCTGTCGTATAGAATGACGGTATCGACGGTGTCGGTGTCGGTTGATGGGATATCCAGGATCATCGCCAGGGCGCACCGACTCGTCGCGCCTTTATGGATGATCCTCGTCGGACTACCGCGCGTCAACGCTCTTTTGTCTGGGAACGCGCGATGTTGATGGATGTGCATACCCTGCGTTGACAGAACAAAAGAAACCACAGGGGGTGTAGATCGCATCGAGACTACAGCCGATCGAGCTTATTGTCTCTCCTCCCGGCGGTCCGTCGATCACCGAGAAGTAATTCTCACCGAGTTCACATGTCCGGGACATGCGCCTGCCAGATGTAGACGCTGCCTTGTCCTGCCCCGAATTAGATGTTGCGTGTAATGAAAACCTGTCGGGGGCGCTCACAGCGGCAGCTCAACGCCACCGACGGTCGAGAAGGAGGGCAGCGCGACGGTGAGATCATGATCGAGACGCCGACATCGTCTCTTGACATCTCTGCCACCATCCGTTAGCGTCGAAAGGCGCTTCTCGACGCCCGCTACCGGAATAGTCAAGTGCTGTAGTTCCGAGCAAGGTTTGTACCGCTTATGGCAGAAGCCTTCTGCCGGGACTATGATATGCATCCCGGCCTGCGCTTGCGACAATCTATCTGGCACTTGACGCAACGCATCGTCACACATCACCATTCAGTGGATAATTCTGTCTATAGCACGCGCGAGCACGTACCAAAGCTGCTCGGAACCTAGCGTCATGGGATCCAAAAACCCCCGGCGGCGTGGGTCTTGCGTTCTCATTGACAAGTCACTTAGGCGGTACGATGACGGCAATCTTCTGCAGAGCGTCGCATGCATAAAACCGCACAGAGCGATCGCAGCCATGCCACGCCCAGGCTGCAACGTTGGAAAATGGTCGCGCTCTCAGGCATCACTTCTATCGTTGTCGCGTTCGCTGCGTGGGCGTACGCAACGATACCCGCGACGCCCAGGCTAACGAGGGAGACCCTCCCACCACAGGCTGTGGTGAGTACATCCAGTGGTCACTTCTCGAAACGATCGTCGTGGTGATGCTCACGGTCCTCCCATCGCCGCTCATCGCTGCTGCGGCACCATGGTCCTCTCCTCTCCATCACAGCTCGTCGATCCTCTCACCTTCAACGTCCTCGGAATTAACGGCAGTTTTCGGGAATCATCGGTCACCGAGTTTTTCAACCCGACAAACACGACTGCGCCCTTCTTCCAAGTCTTTGACTCAGAGTTCCTACAAATCCTCGGACCCAACGCGACTATCCGCGCCATCGCAGCGAACCCCGGATTCGCATTCGCGCATGAAGCACCTATATGGGTCCCAGAGACGGACGAGGTGTTCTTTGCGAGTCAAGACGGCGGTGCTCTAGGATTCAGCGACGTCAACCATAACAACCAGGTATCGAAGATCAGCCTGAGCGAGGTCGCCGCAGCAATTGAAGCGTCCGATTCGAGCGTCGCGCCGGTGAATGTCAGCGTCACGAAAGTACGGCTTCTCTTCTTTGGTGTCGTGACGTGATGCTTGTCCATTTACGTACGCGCCCATCGAACACACATCGCAGATAGACCTTCCGGAGGCCGTGCAGATGACCAACGGTGGGACAGGGCCCTTCTTTGGGCGGCTCGTGTTCGTCAACTCCGGACGAGGGTCCATCCCACCATCGCTGGTGTTAGTCGACCCAAGGGACCCCAGCAACACGACCGTGTTGCTCGACAACTTCTTCGGTCGCCAATTCAACTCACTGAACGACATCAAGATACACCCGCGCACGGGCAAATTCTTCTTCACGGACGTGACGTACGTATCATTATATCCACAGATGCAGATTTCATCTTACTGAACAGGCATTCAGCTATGGTTTCCTGAACCATTTCCGCCCGCTTCCGTTGTTGCCCAACCAGGTGTATCGATTCGATCCCGACACAGGTTCTGTCCGGGTGGTTGCAGATGGCTTCGACCGGTGCAACGGGGTCGCATTCTCACCGGATGGAAGCGTCGCCTTCGTGTGCGTGTACAACCACCCCTCGCATGTCTCCTGAGAGGTTGATAGTATGAGCCACATAGCACTGATACCGGACTCAACGGAGGTTTCCTGGGCAACAACCAGACCGCCCCTGCCACAATGTAAGCACAAGTGCGACGAGAGCCATTCGCGGGATACACGCTGATACCTCTCGTCGCAGCTACGCCTTCGATGTGGACCCGAGGACAAACGCCTTCGCTAACCGCAGGGTGTTCGCATACGTGGACACCGGTATCGCCGATGGAATACAACTTGATGGTGCAGGAAATGTCTACGCCGGATGTGGCGATGGAGCTCAGGCGAGTAACGCACCAGTCATGTGGGTAGAGATTCGAGGCACATTGTATCCACAGGTTTGGAATTCGGAAGGCACCCTGCTCGGCAAGTTTTTCCTCGGCACGGTCTCCGCAAATCTCATTTTTGCTGGGGATGGGCGTCTGGTCATCTTGGCAGAGACTGCAGTATACTTCGCTAACATCGCGGCGAAGTTTAACAACGTGTCGTACCCATAAACGTTACGACGCTGTACCTACATCAATGGATGATGTATGACGAGCTAGCGTAAGAGAAGACATGAGGTCCCGTTCTGTACTCCACAATCCCTGCGAACGCACCTGAATGTATATCATGAATCACGGACGAAGTTGGCCGCGGGCCCACTTCTCTTCATAACGCCAAGGTTAGCTAAACAGTGGGAATGCTTAAGTACGGACTATCAAGTAAGAGTCCAATGGATATCACAGTACCTGGCCTTCGACTCCAGCCTTTCGATTTCGACTTGGCAGCGTCGCCCTTCAAGTTCAGACTGGTCTTCACGAACTTGGTCACTCGTCGTGAGGGTGCCAGGCCCTTAGCAGCGAAGGGAGAGGCAACGGTCGTAGGTTTCGGTAGTGTGCGGATTGTGCGTGATCTAAGCCTATGTCAGTACATTTCGTAGTAACGAACTTGTATGAACGCGCACCCGAGCAAGATATCTCTTGAGGAGCGCTCCGTCCGCTTCCGTTTACGAGATGGAGAGGACTGTTTGCGGGTGGTGAGGCAGCAGTCTTCATCGAAGACGATTTTCTTGCCCGCATTAGACAGTGCGACTTTGAACAGGTGCTCGGGGAGGTAATTCGCTTTCCCTGACGATTTTGCTAAGGGGGGATCCTCGCTTAGATCGTCTTCTTCGTCCTCGTCCTCATCTTCCCCTTCGTCGGATCCCATAGCCTCATCCTCATCTCCCTCTCCAGCTTCTTCATTCTCGCCCTCCTCTTCGCTATCATCTCCTGCGCTGCTCATTTCCTCGTCCAAGGATGGAACCTCTTCATCGAAACCTTCACCCTCCATCTGCACGTCAGACTCGGATCCCGCAGATTCCTCGTCGTCATCTTCGGCCTCGGACTCGTCCTCCGCCTCAGCCATCGCGCGAGCCATCCGGGCCTCCAGCTCCTCCTTGCTCCGGCCACCAACACCGTCACTTCCAGCTTCTGGGTCGTCAAGGTCGCTGTCCTCGTCCTCCGACACTTCCGCTTCAGTCTGCCTTGACTGCCTGCGACTTGCGGCCGGACGGTCCGTCTCCTTGCCCTTGCCCCTTATACTAGCCGAGCGCTCCTTCAAAGCCCTGTCATGCGCTCTGTTCTTGTCCTTTTTCTTTCGTTTCAGCACGGCATGGTGTTTTTTGAGGACGTTTTGTTCGCCCTTCGCAGTTTTCTTTGAGGAGTCGAAGGATACAGCCTCGGGCGCCTCGTCATCGCTCGATTCGTGCTGAGTTTGTTGGGAACGTTTCGCCATGTAACACAGAGCAGATGTTAGTAAAGACGAATCACGGAGGGAGTCAGAGGAGCGGAAAGGGGAATATACCAGCTCGTCTCGCGAAGTACAAGGCGAACTTGTGCAAAAGCACAACCTTGGGCGCTTCTGATCGTAGCCCGGCCCGGGACTTGCGGCACATCCTTTTCGTACCTCTGCTGCCTTTCTCAGTGGGTCGCGGTTCCACCATCATTCTCCTGAATATACAGCACCGTGACTGTGTCCTGCAGTGACGGAGATGTTGAGAGTATGAGTATGGCAACTGTGGCTGGGAGTGCTACTCAACTGCATTCTCTAGCTAGCTCGCTTTTGCATCTACATGGACCTATAGTCGTGACTAGATCAGACGTGGCACCTTGCTAAGATGTCGCAGAACGCAGGAATTCCCCCTCTGATGCTAAATCCTGACACAGCGTCCAAACATCATCAGGTGCCACTAGATTGCCGCACTGGACCCAAACGAGCTCATACATCCTGATTACTTTGACCCCTGCCTTGCCAAACAGATGTGCGATGATGCGATCACGTCACGGTCCCGCTCAATGGTTCCATGGCATCAGCAGAAATATCTCTAGACACTGTTTCGAGTCACGGGCTCCCACAACAGGACGTTGAGGCTTCTACATCAAACGGCGAGGCTCATCTTTCTGCTTTCCCATGACTCACAAAGTTAAAGCTCAGCGCATGCGTCGCGGCTTGGGCTGCGAATCTCGAGACCACGCGTTCCGAGGACCAGGTGTACCGCTTGATGGGCGTTCCTTTAAGTAAAATCCTAGGCGGACCTGTCGACGCAGGATCCTGGGCAGTCCGACATGGCTATGCATATAAGCGACTCGCAGATACATTGCCGCAGTACGTAGTAGGGCCGATGTGTACACAGCTTGCTAACTACTTGTAGTCTACTAATAGGTCGTCCGCGTGGTGCACTGTCGAGCCAGGAGCGCAAGACCAATCCTATACAAAACGTCGATCATATTGCCTGAAGAGGCACTGAAGAGGCAAAAGTCAGTATCTGGTCAAAGTGGAGTTGTAAGGAAGGCCCTCACCTCGACCTAGCTGGTAGCAGCCGCACCAAGCTAGTTGTCCGGCTTGACGGTCACCTCGGCCTCAGTGTACACGACCGTGTTGAACTGACCAGGCTCCTGGTACGTGCTCACTGTGCCGTCCGGGAGCCGGAGCGTGACCGTCGCGATGTAGTTCGCATGGCCCACGCCCTGCTGGCAGAACGAGCTCGCCGTAATGCCCTCGCCCGGCTGGAGCTCGCCCGAAATCCCCCAGCCGACGCTCTTCTCGAACGACGTCGATGTGCTCGTCTCCTGCGTACTGGTGTTCTGCCACGAATATCCATCTCCGAATTTACCACCAACTCCGAACAGTTCGGCGGAAACCTCGGCGTTAACAGAGAATCCGTACGTGGTCGTGGTCGACTGGGTGAACGTGGTCGTCTCGGTGCGCTTCACCTCGTTACTGAACGTCCACGGGAGGCTCGCCTTCGCGTTGGGCGGGTTGTAGTAGTGTATGCTGTCGAGGTCCTGCCGGGAGATGCCGGTGTTGCTCCCTGTGAGGGGAGGGTTGTAGACTACGTTGGAGATGGAGATGGACTGGACTGAGCCATTAAGGAAGACGGGCCCGAGCATATCAATTTCCAAC